CACTTATTGTAATCACAATATCCCCATTTCTATCAGTTTGAATACTTGATTACTCATCCTACCCGACATAACTGTAAGCATAATACTATTACAATACAGTCACAGCATGTCATAAGATAAATTAAGTTGCATGAAGAACCATATTAGAATTTTTCTTCATGTACCCCAACTTTTGATAAGAATTGTCAAATGGGATTGGATCGTCAGGCTTGTTGACTTGGATGATACATCTTATCATTTTCTGAATGCATAGATTGATGCTTGTGATGTCAGTCATTGGATAGTCATGCTCGTTGACGTGGATGATACATCTCAGCGTTTTCTGAATGCATAGATTGATGCTTGTGATGTCAGTCATCGGATAGTCAGACTCGTTGACGTGGATGATACATCTCATCGTTTTCTGAATGCATAGATTGATGCTTGTGATCTCTATTATTGGATAGTCAGGCTCGTTGACGTGGATGATACATCTCAGCGTTTTCTGAATGCATAGATTGATGCTTGTGATGTCAGTAATTGGATAGTCAGACTCGTTGACGTGGATGATACATCTCAGCGTTTTCTGAATGCATAGATTGATGCTTGTGATGTCAGTCATTGGATAGTCAGGCTCGTTGACGTGGATGATACATCTCATCGTTTTCTGAATGCATAGATTGATGCTTGTGATGTCAGTCATTGGATAGTCAGGCTCGTTGACGTGGATGATACATCTCATCGTTTTCTGAATGCATAGATTGATGCTTGTGATGTCAGTCATTGGATAGTCAGGCTCGTTGACGTGGATGATACATCTCATCGTTTTCTGAATGCATAGATTGATGCTTGTGATGTTAGTCACTGGATAGTCAGGCTCGTTGACGTGGATGATACATCTCATCATTTTCTGAATGCATAGATTGATGCTTGTGATGTCAGTCATTGGGTTGTCAGGCCTGGACTAAACATTTTCAAGACCGCTGTCATAAGGCTTGAGCTAGTCTCTGTGTGGCATTAGACAAAAAAAAAACAAAAAAAAAAACAAAAAAAATAATACTAATGTGGGTCATGCGATTCCAGGGATTTGCTCTACAGCATTTGAAAAAGTACAGCATATCTAATTTATAGCCAGACATGTATTTGGGGCATTTAGCATTACCTATAGCAGTTGTGGTATCAGGTGTTTGTCTCACCAAACTCATATGGTTTTACCTTGAACTACAAACGTATGGGTTACTTATTTCCTTACCTGAAGGACCCATAATGTAATGAGCAAGTAATGAAACATGAGATTTCAATAAATACCACTGTACATCTCTTGGGATGCAATCTATATTTTTTCTACATCCATTAGTGTGTACATTTCTCCACCATATAAAACCCTGTAAAATAACATGCATAAGTGAAATGAAGAAACCTTATTCGCCGGTTTCCTACTCGAGGCTGAGCATGAGACCACCGAGTGTCAATGATTGATGGGTAGAAATTCAATTCATAATGAATTCTGTGTGATCAATTACAAAATGACAAAAATCCTTATTAAGTAGGACTGAGTAGCAAAAAAATTCCAGTGTATTGTATGCTTTTTGTTGACCATAATGTCTCTAGTTATAAGTAACACCCTTGTAATAAGGCCAGTTTGACCATGCTGACAAAATGGCATCCCTGTCATGCTTTGCCACTCAGATGTAACGTTGACAATGGAAGTGTTCCTCGCTATAACAGTGGAATGAGGTCAACTTGACATGAACAATAACTGTACAACAGGTCAATATTCCTGACACTGATCTAGGTGACCGAACAATGTACACAATCTAAGACCACTCTATCTGGAAAACACAGCCTTGTGATACATGCCACAGAAACATAAAACATCAGACATCACATCCATCTCATCACACGCAGCCATCGATTTCTTATTCCCATTGGCATAATCCCTGTTAATATTCCTGTCATCAGATGAGGTGAATGTAACGGCCTGTGTAGTTATAAATTCTTTGTGTCTAAGACATCAAATGGCAGCTTCAGAGTGATAGACACAAATCCTGATTGTCTTCATTTCATACATAAGGTGTACATATTACAATCACTGATAATATTCACAAGTATAAATATTGTACAAACATGCATGAGTATGTAAGCATGGGTCTAGAATACTTGTAGCAATATTCCAGCTATAAATGTATAGGAACATGAGTTAGCCAATGTACCCATATGCACAACAGCTCTAGAATAGAAGAATAGTTATTATACACTATTTACTTGAAATAGAGGATCGGCTTAACTCTGTTACCTTCAATGCACTTGTGATTTATTGGTAATAGTTCTACATTACACAATCATCCATCATGCTATTAAGCTAAATAAAATACTTTAGACAACCATGAGTATCAATGTCTAGTAGTTCCACCTTGTAACCAACCTTACAATAACTGTCTTGAAGCTACATGCTCATGAATTGAATTTCATGAAAATATTCAAATTTTGGCATGCATGATGCATGGACTCCAAAGGTTATATAAGTGAAATGAATCATTTAAATGATATACAGAAACTCAATTGCACTGCGAACTGTGGGCTTCAATATGATAAATGATACATACACTGCTCTATCATGATAGAAAATACATATTTTGAAAATAATTGAACATTAGTTAAAATGACCCCTTGAAAATATGAGATAGAATAGGCATTCAGCAACCAATGCTTGTATAAGGTGATTAATGGGATTAGTTGGTCAGCATTGCCGACTTGGTTCATGCATGTCATTGTACCCTATTTGTGTGAGTGAGTGAGTGAATTTAGTTTTACGCCGCACACGGCAATATCCCAGCTATATGGCAGCGGTCTGGAAATAATCGAGTCCGGACCAGACAATCCAGTGATCAACAGCATGAGCATCGATCTGCGCAATTGGGAACCGATGACATGTGTCAACCAAGTCAGCGAAACTGACCACCCGATCCCGTTAGTTGCCTCTTACGACGATGTATATAGCTGTTTTATTGTTTTCAAAATCATGGGGGGATCCTAGGTCCTTAATGTTTCTTCCTGTAGTATTTGAATCCTGAAACACTGACCTCTTGACTTTCATTCATAATTTCAAATAAAGTAACAATATACAGTAACATCACTGGAAAATGTGTTTAAGGTATTACAAGAAGTTCTCCCGGCAACAGGTTCTAGATCTTGTCCTGTCCATGTCCTACTTAGTACCATTATGTTTACAACTCAATGTCTTTGTGTGTCATATCATGTGTACTAACCATTCACATCCTCTAGATCAGGCCTGGATACTTACTGAATATTTAATGACATACAGTCAAATCCCGATGAGTCGAATCGCTGGGGACCAAGTAATAAATTCGACTTATCGGTGTATTCGAGACATAGGTGTCGATGACGGTAGAAAAAAAGATGATCCAGTCCTAATTCCTCCGCCTAAGCATCTGTTTATCTAATGACTTCCATATCGATAGGGGCACCTTATCAGTTCCAGTCTGATTAGCACAGACAGTGATTTCCGTAAAATCACTAATCTGCCTTTTGAACTCACCCGTCAATGGCGGAAAGGTGTGAGCCGCGCTGGTTTGTTAATTGGATCCGTTTGCTACACCAATCAACTTCTCATTGACTGACTTCGGCTTATATGTATACAAGATTGCTGTTGTTTGAATGTCATGGGACCAAATTTCCTTCTCGAGTCATCGTGTGTATTTATGAGACGAATTCGTGTAACCGGAAATCAAATGATGACAACTATAACAGGGAATGGTCAGGACCGACAGGTACTTCGAGTTATGCATAATATTCGCGAGACACCGGCATTCGACTCATCAGGATTTGACTGTACTTACAATCACGTCAGATTCAGTGCTTTACTTTCCTGTTTATCATGAACTAGGTAATAGAACCTGAATTCCTGAATCTGTCTGGATTTATGGGTACATAAGCTTTAGAACTAAATCCATAAGACCATAATAAAGATTGAATAACACCAAATTTTCCATCATATTGAGGGTCATATATCTTGCCCAGTAGTTATCTTCACATTACATGACTAGAAAAAGGGCTCTAAGATGTTTGGGAATACCCATAAACAATTACATCTTTATATACATATTGAAACAAATTAGCATGTCTTTTGAAAAGTTGTCATATTTCTTTTAAAAGCTGTATTTTTAAATTTTGATCATTTTTACCTTATATGTGTAACATTTAACATTCAGAATCTACAATACTTCCAACCAAATCATAAACAAATTAGTGTATAGCTGAGATACTTTTCCCTTGACTGTAATCTTTGGGCTGTAAATTGAAGAACATTCATGTCTTTGTTGAAAACCTTTTGGGATAATATTTATAAAAACATTTTCGGACAAGGATACTTACAGAGAGACCATACTTTGACTGGTCATTACAGATTCTAAACACACCTGATGTCTTGATATATGATACTAATGTACAGCGCTGTACTAAAGACAAATGCTACATAAAATGAAAGCGCGAAGGGATACTACAAAAACTACACAGGCCTAGTTTAAAATCTGTCACCTGTGCAGTGTCAATGAGAATTCATACATTATTATGCAACACAAGATACATGTTTCTAACCATTTCTTGTGTTATCAGCGGGATAGATGGGCAGATGAATTGTGTTTGCTTGTCATGCAGAAGGCCTTGTTGATATTCCACACAGATACAATTAATGAAAAACACCTATACCCATTCTCCTCTCACTCTCCTTGTGTATATTCATAGATTCAGTATAAACTAACAGTTTCCAATCCTTCAACAAACACAGAAATGGTCAAATGTCAACTGGCATGTCTGATAGGTAATTTCAGGAAGTGGCCATGATGATCTGCATGTCTCATCGAATCTGAGTAGATCTATCTACTACCTTTCAAACAAATCACTGAATATTTCATTAAGAGAAATATGAGGTAAGTTCTCAACTGGTAACGATATAAAGTGAAATGGTCTGAAATGTAATTTCAAAATTCCAGTATACTTACTCGAACGCGAAGAACAGTCCACTGGTGACGATGATCAAGGTGCAAGTCAAGTAGAAGATTCCAGTTTGTTTGGCCATCATGATTCTTCCGTTGCAGTGAAATTTATTTTTTCCTGGAAATACTTCCCATCTTCTCACTTTTTTCGCCATTTTATCCTGATCTTCGTCAATATGTTTTGACGGAGACTCTGTCGAAACAGCAGTATAAACGAGATGGTCTTTCATTAGTTGCAAACAGTGGTGTTCTATAGGGGAGAAATACCCTCACTAGGGCCTGGTGGACCATCACAAGGAAATCGGTAATGATCCTAATTCATCTTAAAATGTATCCAACGATCGAATTGTCTATTTTTCTACACAAATACCTCTAAATTCTATCTGTTTTTCATACACATTTGTCACCAAGACCTTTGTTGATCATAATGATCTCATGACGCATGCGTACTGCAATGACATTTCCTATCAGTGTTGTTTCGTATTCTTGGCATTTTCTTTTCCAAAGATATGTATTTTACGTGTTCCAATATTTGTTTATATTGTTAACGATATGATAAACACGAATAGATACAAAATCAGGTTACGGGAATACTATCAGTAATAAAATATATAACCGACCTTCACCTTGTTTAACCCTTGACATATGTGGTGAGCATGGCTTCCACTAAAAACAAAATTGATTCAGGAGAACGCTCAAGTGCGCCAAAGGATACAACCAAAACTGACAGTGTGCCTCCTACCGGGACGCCGAAATTAATTGGTGCGTTAATACACAGTGTTGATCAGCTATTCAGACATAGGTGTGAAAAGCACGAGTGTAGACTAGCACCTGTTCTTTTGTCGTCAATGTCACCTAAATTCGTGGGCTAATTCACTCAACCGGGATGCAACTTAGCAATGATGTAATCAGTCTGTGTATTGAGAAGTATGTTAATGTGAGTTGGAAATGGTCTTACCCCTTGACACTTTTATCACTGAAGCATGCCGTATATTTTATTCATTTTAGAAAGTAAATGTTAGTAGTAGCACGGAAATATTCAAATATAAGTGAAAATGTGTAAAAATTTCTTATGATTAGACCTAATTAGCATTATAAACTTGAATCTTTAAATGTGCTCTAAGAGCAAATACTATAAATTTACCCAAAAATTCATGGATGTGATTAATCAGTTTTTAGACAGTATTAGAGAGTGTTAAAGTGTAATGATTTATAACAATATATTATTTATTCATATTTTTATTACTGTGATAGTTCATTTTGCATCATTAAAATAGACAGACATGGTGCTCATAACCTGTGTTATTGAAAAGGGAGGGCTTGCTGGCTGGCTATCATCATTTGCATGAACAGCATGTGTTTCATATCTCACTGATATATGATGTACTAGTATTAGTTTGGCAGAGTTGACATGTGACATAATGAAGAAGTGGAAATCTTAAAGTCAAGTCTGTCTTCAGTGATATGCCTATATAACATATTTCATATAGAGGACACATAATATTCTGAACAGTCAGAATGAACGATGAACACCTTACCTTCTCAGTCGGTAGATTTTACAACACTTCATGTCTAGTTACTGTACTCTGTGTAAGTGAATCAGGGGACCCAGAAAGATTGATCTAGTTCAGAGTTTCTACTTCAGTTATTCTATTCATCAGTATTTTAATGGTGATAAATGTAGGAGGACTTGATGCAGACCCAATACAGTATCTAGTTACTGGTTTGCTGGATAAGTTAACAAAATCATGCTTTAAAGATTCTATTGCATTGATAGTTTGATGACCTGTTCCACACAACAATTGCTAAAGCTGGAAGATGTTTTAATGTAAGAAAAGTAATATTTTGAAAGGGTTCAATTTTTGTTAACTTTAAAAAAAATGCATTGATGACTTCTAAAATATTTCTTTTTGAGTTGTGCATAGGCCACTGTATTGAAGCATATCATAAGACTGTTATTGGATGAAATATCATGATACTTTGATGATCCCATTTATATATTTTAAGTTTATGAAATCAACTGATACAAACCCATATATGTTTTAGTTGTATAGTGAATTAGTGAGTTTAGTTTTACATCATTTTTAGCAATATTCCAGCTATATCACAGCGGGGGACACCAGGAACAGGCTTCACATATTGTACCCTTGTGGGGAATCCCAAACCGAGTCTTCGGCACGAGCTAATGCTTTAACCACTAGGCTACCCCACAGTCCCTTAGGTTTATAGAATCAGGTGACACAATATATATATTTTAGGTTTATGGAATCAAGTAACACAATATATACATTTTAGGTTTATAGAATCAGTCACACAATATATATATTTTAGGTTTATAGAATCAGATGACACAATATATATATTTTAGGTTTATGGAATCAGTGACAGAATATATATATTTTAGGTTTATGGAATCAGATGACACAATATATATATTTTAGGTTTATGGAATCAGTGACACAATATATATATTTTAGGTTTATGGAATTAGATGACACAATATATATATTTTAGGTTTATGGAATCAAGCAACACAATATATGTATTTTAGGTTTATGGAATCAGATGACACAATATATATATTTTAGGTTTATGGAATCAGATGACACAATATATATATTTTAGGTTTATGGAATCAGATGACACAATATATATATTTTAGGTTTATGGAATCAGTGACACAATATATATATTTTAGGTTTATGGAATCAAGTGACAGAATATATATAGTTTAGGTTTATAGAATCAAGTGACACAAGCCCAAAGTCAAATGTGAAATAAACAGACATAGTTTGAAATAATTTCTTTGTCCGAACTGTGCCAAAGCGAGATGAATTGCTAAACATCATACAAATTATAGTAACTGTTATTTTGGGGATAAGAATATAATGAGTGCATTGTATGTATTAGCTGATGTTGAACATATAATACTAAACTACCTGATTTCTGAACAATGTTAGCCTTTAGTTTCAGCTTTTCCAACCATGCCAAATAGAAAAGATATAAACAGTATGGATCCACAGAAAGTTTGTTGACATCCTAAATTACTTGAAAAACATTTTTCTTGAATTTAATTTTCATTTGCCATTTTCATCCATCTAGTGAAATTCATTGAACATCATTTAAACCTTCCACTTTGTAACCAATTTTGTATATTTTCCTAAACCCATGATTTTGCAATGTGGTGCTAGGTGCATTGTTGCTCAGAGTTTGTCGACATCCTAAATTACTTGATAAACATTTTTCTTGAATTTAATTTTCATTTGTTTCATCCATCTAGTGACCTTCACCTTTGTGTCTAACAGGTGGTGCAATAAGAGCAGGATGTTCTCACTCATTTGCAAACACCTGCCTCATCTGTGTAACCCTGAGACTTTAGTAGTTGCTTTTCATTTTGTCACTTCTAATTTAGGTGTATTTAATATGTACAATACATAATATATATATGAATAAATGGATATGAATAATTAGATGCCCATCACATGATTGCATATGAATGACACATTTTGATGCCCTGAGACTGTCTTCCAGAATTGATGTACACGGTGATGGACTATTTCCATATTCAGCAGAATTCCCTGGGAATCCTGTTGTCCTATTTTACCTGACAATGGGTAAAATCTGTGAGTTTGGCAGCATGTATGTTCATAAAATATCCTCTGTGTGACCTGGAGAAGAATGCACAGAAGTGCACTTCAAAATTCTCATGGTATTCATTGGATCCAATTCTATACTGACGGTGACTGGCAACAGCAGTCTATGAATTTGCCTCATTTTCTAATTTACAGTTCTTTAAGACCATCTTTTAATTATCAACCAATTGATCAGTGATGACTAACGCCTGTAAGTACTCAAGTTCATTGAAAGTTTTATCAGGTCAGCTATTTTGATGTCCTATACTTTATGCAGAATTATTATGACTTGCTGTTATTGAATTACTACGGTAGATCTTAAATGAATTTTCTCATCTGATTTTGATATTAAGTACATCTATTTGTTGTAACTGAACAAATATGTTACTGTAGCAGAATATGACACTTCAAGTCTACCTTTCCTGTTGAGGAACTATCATGCTTTGTCATACAGCTGTTTTGTCATCATGTGATCATGGCGGCATGTTGACACTGAAGATAACTCAGAGAAAAAGTAAATATCTAGTGTGGTAAAGAACCCAGAGCCACCTGTAGAAGAATATGAAATATCAGTGCTACCTCTCTGATTGAGGAACAATTTTACTTTGCCATAGGCCTACAGCTGTTTGTTTCAGTTTGGCTGTCACTGTAAACATGAAGTCACTTGATTCCGACTGAAATGTTTAACCTAGTTTTATAGATTACTTTCTTAGTTTGTCAGCCCCCAAGTCATTCCCCAACCTAATGTAATAATCTGTGTCAAACTGAGACGTTATCTGTAACTGATTTGTGTTTTCATTACCTTTTAGATAGATTTACATAACTGAATTTGATTTGTGCTGTATATTACTTTGACAATAGCCTTGCACAGCCTTCCAACCCATTATGTCTTAGGGCAGTTGTGACAGGGACATGCCTAATATTTATTTCTACGGTGTCAAAATGACATCAGTATACTGTCAATTTTATGTCATAATGGTATTTTCTTTACAGAATGTCATCAAAATCATGTCAATATTTCAGCAATCTGATGTCATAATGATACCTTCTTTTCAACACTTCAGAATTATGTCAGTATGATCTAATTTTGTCAGTATCAGTGTCAAGGCAGTATCAAGCTGGATCAACATAGTATCAATATTACATCAATATCCCTCACTCACTCACTGACTCACCTGTGTGTGCTGCATGCACACGGGCAGCCATCCCACAGGTGTGTGTTAGATTCCAGCTAATCTAATCCATTACTCCGATGTTTTATGTAACTCGTACATTCACACCGACCTATATGTTTACAAAACACCACCTTCATTGACAACCGGTAGTGATCCGTACTATTGCGAAATAACCCCAGGTTCCAGTCTGTCCTTTATCATGTGAATAGTGCCCACATTGAATTATACCGTCGGACAAATGGCTTCAAACAGTGACATGCACATTGGTGACTTCAACCAAGTATCTGTTGCACAGGTATAGTCAATATTGAGCTATGTGACTCAATATTTGAAATAAGGAGGATGTCCTGTGAACTACACTGACTTCTTGGCTATTGACTGTGGTCACGCTTCCTTGGCCTGATCAGTCTTCGTGACACATAAATAAAACAAGATAGTCGCAGGGCACTAAAGTCTCCATGCTGTATTCCCTATACTCAGTGGTAGCTAAAGCAACATTGGAAGTTATAGGGCATTGAGACGAGGCCTTTTAAGGACAGGTAGAGAGATCATGTAGTTGTGAGATAGTGTATATACGAAGGATATTGACAGTGTGTCCGTGTACAATGTCTGGTGTGAAGCGTCAGTGCATGTCACGGCAGAGTTTGGGGATCTTAATGTTGTGTACTGTTAGAGTTGAAACACCAGCAGTATGTTGATCATGGAATCAATGGGTTGCATGAACCAGAAATCTGTTTGTTGTCTAGAAGCTGAGATAAGGGGAGTTTTTAGATTAGGCCAAATCAATTAGTTTGATTGTTTTAAAAGCAAATGTAACTTGAATTTTACAAATATGAGGTGACATATTTTGCAAGGATTGAAATTAGGCAGGGAATTTTAATAAGACATGTTTTTACATGCTCTTTTATGGAAGTTAAGGTGAGAGTAACCCTGACAGTACTCATGATTGGGTTGTTTTCCTGTTTTTGCCTCAATTAATTTCCTTCTCGCCTCAAGATGTTTCAGCATGAAATATGAAGCCTATCTATGTTTGTTCAGAAGTATGTTAGAAAGGGAATTATGTCGACGTTAATGCAACTGTATTGAATCACATTTGACATTATTTGTCTTAGTGAGGTCTTGAAGAAAGAATCTCATGCTTAATCATTTTTGTGTGATGATTCTTGTAAATTTCATGCTTACATTAGTTCTATATATAAAGGGGCTGTGGGGTAGTCTAGTGGTTAAAAGTTGCTAATTCGCCATCGAAGACCCGGTTGAATCCCCACATGGGTACAATGAGTGAAGCCCATTTCTAGTGTCCCCGCGATGATATTACTGGAATATTGCTAAAAGCTGCATAAAACCAAACTCAGTCAGTCTCTCTATATATAAAATAATTTGAATTTAGTCATACGTTCTGTTTTAATTTGTTGACTTAATTTCAATGTTATTCAGTTTTGTATTCATTCTAGTATCAAGTTATGCAATTAAGTGATATAAATTCAAAGTTCACATTTGCAAACGGCAAAATAGTTCCTGCAGCTTTAGCATGTTTATGCAGTGCTCACTTCCATGTCAATAGTCACATACTAGATTAAAAACAAATTTAGGGCACATAGAAATGAAAATAGGATTGTGCATATATATTATGATAACATAGATCCAACAATTAGTCAGTGGGTTAAGGGGTTAGGTGGTGTGAACATACCCCAGTTTCTATGTACCTACACCAGTCTAACCAGGTTCAAAGCCTCTCAGGTCAGGTTTGTTTGTTCTGCTGTTGGTGGTGGCTGTCTACATGTGTACATGGGTCAAGGTGTTGTTGACAGACTGAGGCTGCCTTTTACAGGTCACCGTGGAAACTGGGTACTTAATTAGCAAGTTATCTGTAAAACAGGACATTTTAAAGAAATTCATGCTTGTTCATGGTCCAAACTATCCTTTGGGTTTTAATAGTGGTTTGGACATGAATATGCATGACTTTTGTTGAAATGTCCTGTATTTAAAGGAGGAATAAGTTCAGCCTAATTGACAGTCCAGCCAGTTTGCTTCGTTTTATAACCAGTTTGTCAGAAAATTCAAGTTTTGAATCAACAAGTGACTAGAGGTGTGACGATACAGAAATTTCATGATACAATACGTATTCGCGATATCTTGGAACGATACGATTCGATACGATGCGTATCACGATATGCTATCTTTAGTTATTTTCTTTAAAAAAGTGTATTTTGATAACTAGTAACAGTGTAAATTTTGACATGACCGTCAATTTCTGTGAACATCACCATTTTAGGTCAACGATACATTCTAGTGAAAATTCGATATATTTATTGTCAGAAAAGGTATCACGATTATCGATACTACGATATATCATCACAGCTCTACGAGTGACACAGGAATAGTGTTTTGGTTTCACACTTTAGGTACAGCATCTAGATGTTAACTTGGAATGGTCACCAAAATGTAATATTCCCTGTAGAAGTGAAATATTCTTAGTTATCATGGTTATTTGCGTGTGTTAATTTATTTGTGTTAAACATTAATTAGGGTCTGGAGCAGCCCAGTTGTCTCTGTAAATCTATGTGCATCCATTAGACATGAAAGAATCCTGTAATCTTTTTCATCTCAGATTTGTCCTCACGATATTTATCTGTTTTTCAATTCCATTCTCTCGAGTTTCACTGAAGCATGTAGGACTTTTATAACAATTGACTTTGATCCGACAGTATGATAAATTTGATCTTTAAGTTTTAAATGAGCGTTCATAAATAGTAGCACTTGAAAAATAAATGTCTCAACTTTGAAAGGTGTAACAATTTAATCTATACACATGGACAAAAGTATCGCAACACCCCATATTTTTCATTGTATCAATATGTTACCATTAACCACAGCAAAGGAACTTATCCAAACATCAATTTAACTTACTATCTGGATAAATTGACCCTCAAGGAATAATTAAAGGGCAAAACTAAATGTGAAAAGGACGACAAACTAGTTTATTTAGAGGAGTAAACATGGCATAATGTTTGTGACCTGAGCTCTATGCACAGGACCACACAACCCTTGGTAGAACAACCCTGTCTAGGATTTCAGCGATACTTGTTCCAAGATATTCTGTTGTGCATATGCAGTGTTTCTGTGGTGCCAAAGCTCGGTCATCAGTCATAAGCAAAAGAAAGCTACTTTCGTCCAACCAGTTGACCCTTCCCTATGATGTCGAATTCCAGTGATATTTGCTTAATAGTAGAGTAGATACATCGTAATATGTGCACAGCCGAAATCAAACGCCTGAAGGATCAAAGTAATCATACAAACTAGTGTTGAGAATTGGTTGAAATCTCATAATTGATGATTGCTTCATTACCAACGAACAATCATTGATAAAAATTGGTTAGCGTCAATTTTCAGATTTCCTATCCAGGTTGTTATCACAGATATGTATAACATGATGCACCTTGCTACTTTAAAGTGATGTTGATATTTCATGAACATAAACCTTCTGGGGTCTTCAAGAAATATTCAGTCATGACTTTTCAGTTAGTGAAGTGAGTTTTCTAAGAATTAAACAAGCTTGCAGGCCCTGACAACTTCGAAGTTATGTTCCATCATCAAGTGTTTCAAAGACTAAAACAGCAGTTCCAAAATCGTTTGTGTTCTATTATGAGAAAATGTGATCGATTGCTTGGTCGTTTGGTCACTTTCGACCAATCTTCGATTATTTCAATTAATCGGAACACCACTAATACAAACCAACATAATTATGATATGAATATAAATGACTATATGGGGGTTAAAAATCATTGGTGTGCGATACTTCTTTCAATATGTATTTATAAAGTGATATTGTGTATTACTGTATGAGGTCACATAATCTGTTGTTAAGATAAGGCTGACCTGTATTTGTGTAAGCTTATATTTGGGAATCCACTTTATCATGGATCATAGATTGTAATCACTTTGTTCCAGTTGATTACTTATCAGTTGTGATTGGTTGATAAGTGATATAATTTGAATATTTCCTGACAGAACAAGCAAAAATACATGTGTTTTTTCATGGTTAAATGATAATGTCAGTTTCAAATTAGAAGTTTTAGAAGTTGGAAGAGCACAAATACAGTTGTGTATTTTATGACAATTTCTTTTAGTCCTTGTAGCGACATGTCAAAACTACTTTTTGCCCCTTCATTGCATGCATCCATCCACCCATCCATGCATGCACACACACGCACGCATGCAAAACAAACACACGCACGCAAAACACATGCACACGCACACACACTGAAGCACATGTGATACATGTGTTCTCACCTGAGGCAAGTGAGTTTGTTAAAATAATACTGACAAACCAATGCGAATAACTAGAGAGAAGCGAGTTGGTACAATCAAGTTGTGGTGTGCTTACTCAGTTTTACCTGTTGAAGGTGCAAGAAATGGCTCTGAAATGGCATTAAAAAGAATAAAGAAGTTGTCATTCATTAAAAATTGTCATGTTTTAATGTGATGTATTTTGACTAACAACCTTAATTCATGATTATCAAGTAGAGGACAGTGGTTCATGTCACCCTGTCGTGAACATCATGGACTATTGCTAATAGATATACAGCTCTATTCTCCACAATATATTCACTTGCTTTTAGAGATTATGTAAAGCAACGTGTCTGATTTATTCTGTGAATATATCTCTTGCGTCAGGAATCTTAAATGATGATCTCTCATTGATTTTCTTTGCAAGACATGACAGAAAATGATATACCACTTGCGTAATATACTCAATAACGCTCTCCCAGTACAACATTAATCAATAGAAGTGTCAGAGATATACTCACCAATATTATCACACGGTATAACATATATGTCTCCCATTGAACCAGATAATCCAAATATTAACACGTCGTCTCTGAAATGAGAATCACAACATTTCCAGTGATGTTGTTGAGGCAAGACAGTTGGGGTGGAGCCATTTCTTGAGAATTAGTGGCCATTCAAGTTACCTCCTTAAAGCTGCTTACCTCCCCTGCTAGGCTTGGTAATTAGACATTAGGCAGGTGGAAGAAGAAGTACAATGCTGTTACATTACAGTGTGTATACCATGGGGATTATGTATACGTATACACTGGGAGCGTCCCACATGTACATGCTCCCTACACCACTGGAGTTCATTGTGAGGAAGTATTTCCATAATGGGGTTTATGAATTGCAACCTTCAGCTGCTGAAGGGATTGTTTCAAAACTTGGACTGTTAGTTAAATGGTAAAGTCCTTTGAAGGGCTTTTACAAGTGATGAATGGGAGTCAAAGATGTTTTGGACTTCTCAACTTTCAACTACTTTATTTGTTTAACACAACATTTCAGAGTTCTTACTCATTCTTCTAAATGATACAGCGTGGGTATGGACATACATACTTACAAATATACGGACGGATGGATGGACAGACTCTTTAGGCAGTTTACAAAACAAGATAACAATGGCTAGTGACATAAATAACAGAAGCCAAGGTAAGCTTGGAAATAATTATGTTTTATTGATTAATCGTGTTGGTCAGAGTAGTTTCACAGGGAATATTATGAAAGTTAATTTATGTATTTTGTTTGAAGTTACACAATATTTTTTCAACAATGTTTGCAAATGTGATTAAAACGTGATAAATTTCTTTGAGTATATCCTGCCTGTAATGAAGGCTGACAGAAATAGGGATCAGGAGATGAGGCATCAAGGTGTCAGGGAAGTTGATCATGCTGTCAACTACGTGTCTGGTCTAGGTTTCAGTATTTACAGGCCAACCTGATGTAACTGTAAAACAACAACTGTGGTGTAGAATATCATCATGGTTGAGTGACATATCACTGAAATTGATTGATTTAATTCAGGAACCCGGAGTATCCAGGCTAGGATTGGTCACCAACCCTTGTTGTAAGAACTAATGGAATGGGGTGGTCAGACTTGATGACCTGGTTGATACATGTCGTTGTAGCCCAGTTGTACAGATTGATGCTCATGGTGTCAATCATTTGATTGTCTGTTCCAGAAAACCACCATAATATTGCTGATACAGTGACATGTTTGTGCTAAGTAACATTTATAAAAAGTATTTTGTTCTGTTTTTTTGTTAATATTTGTTGATATACAGATCCCGATAAGTTTAATTGTGACCAAATGAATAATAGTGCCACTGGTCTAAGTACATGTTGAAGACCCATTACACATTAACAGTTTAAAAGAAAGCATGTCTGTAATGATTGTTACTGTTGCTTTTAAGTTCCAGAATCATAACCTTTGGTCATGTTCTTGACTCTTTAACAAATCAACTCTACTGACTGCTTGAATAATAATATGGCCTCAGTTAACTTTTGAGATGCCCCCTCTATGCTGAAGTATGGAAGCTGAGAGAGAATGGTTTGTTCTATAATCCTGCATATTTAGGATTAGGGAGGCCGGCCAACTCAGGTCGTGCGATTTAATCTGTTAATGAGGAAGTTTATTTGCATAAGTAATCATTAGGTAAGTGGTTTATTGTAAGTGGTAATTGTGAATTTCCAGCAGCTCATATTTCCCTTAATGCAGATATCAATCAAGACAATAACAGATGATAAAAAATCAGGTAAGTGGGTCGTAGATGAGTAAGGATGGTCTTGCATTTACGGAAGGATTGATTGGGAGATTATTGGAGGAAGGTCCATTCTCACAGGCTAATGTTAGTAGCTTGACACTGCACACAGCAATAGAAGTCCAGCTGTGCATCTCCATTTTCCATAAGCAGACGTCAATATCATCCAAGGGAAGTAGTGAGTGAGCATAGTTTAACCCCGTGTTTAGCAATATTCCAGAAATACCATGGCAGGGAACACCAGAAATGGGCTTCACACATTGTACCTGTGTGGGAATCGAACCCAGGTTTTCGGCATGATGAGTGAACACTTTTACCACTAGGCTATCCCACCGCCCCCTAAAGGAAGTAGAAACATCAGTAGTTTGCAGCCATGCCACACCGACTGATCTAAAGATGTACTACACAAACAACATATCGTCGAAGGGGGGGCTTTCATCACCCCAAAGCTCTGAGTTTGATTTCCCCACATGGGTGCATGTTAATGCCATTTCTAGAGTCCTAGTGCTGCAATATTGTTAATGTAGCATAAGACCATGCTTCTCTCCTTCCCACACTCCTAAGTACATCCCAAGCAACCTGCTGATTTACAACCCTATTGCAGTAGTGTTTGACGTACATCAGTACTATTTGACAATGTCCTCTATTGTTGTCCAGCATCAATAGCCTGTCATGTCTGTTCTCAGGGGGAGTGTTCCTGGCTACGGTGGCAGGTCTGTCCATACTGGGCGGTTTCGGGATGACGGTTGCCATGGCAAAGAAGAAAGATCCCAACATGTTCAATAAAGTAAGTGCCACACCCATAGTCTCACCTTTAATGTTTTCTGTGTATGTTCTGCTGCAGATACATGGGTATCTGATTTGAGAATGGGATATTTCAGAGCATTATGTTGGTCGTAGCATGTTTTGGTATGTGTCAGTATATATTGATTCTGTGTGAAATTTCAGGGCATTTTCAGGATTATAGCTCATAGATGAATTTATCAGGGCATATTCAAATGTTTCCTCACATTACAGTAATTGTAGCTAATTGTGTAGTGTTTTAGGGTGTTATAGATCAAAGATCATGGTGGACTTTAGGTTCATTATGGTACATAGTGGAATGTTTCAGGGCATTATAGCACTTTGTAGAGTGTTTCAGGGAATTGTAGCTTATAGTGGCGTGTTTCAGGGCATTATAGCACATTGGGGAGTGTTTCAGGACATTATGGCTTATAGTGGCGTGTTTCAGGGCATTATAGCACATTGGGGAGTGTTTTAGGGTGTTATAGATCAAAGATCATGGTGGACTTTAGGTTCATTATAGTACATTGTGGAGTGTTTCAGGGCATTATAGCACTTTGTAGAGTGTTTCAGGGAATTTTAGCTTATAGTGGCGTGTTTCAGGGCATTATAGCACATTGTGGAGTGTTTCAGGGCATTATGGCCCCCCTCCGTGGTGTAGTGGTTAGAGCGTCCGCTTGGAGAGCGGAATGTCGCGGGTTCGATCCCCGACTGCATCATACCAAAAGACATTAAAATATGGTACTTGTTGGTCCCTGCCTGGCACTCGGCATTAATGGGTACAACAAGGACTGGTCGGCTTGGAGTCAGTATAATGTGTCTGAGTGGGGTATTCATGCTTCACTGCGGTGTGCTATCTCAGTGGGCTAGCACTATAAAACCAGCTTCAGTCTGGGCTAGAACAAGCAGCCGCACATACATATACACACGCATGCATGTCGTCATAAGAGCGAAATATTCTCAAGCACAACGTTAAACCCAATTTCACCTCACCCCACCTCAGGACATTATGGCTTATAGCGGAGTGTTTCAAGGCATGATAGCACATTGTGGAGTGTTTCAGGGCATTATAGTTTATAGTGTCATGTTTGGCTGCATTATAGCACATTGTGGAGTGTTTCAGGACATTATAGCTTATAATGTAATAATGTTAGCTTATAAGTTCACATTAGATATTTAGCACAATGCATGCTCAAAGCGCTGATGTCAGGACGAAAAGGCTTTTTGGAATTTATGGCTTATAATGGCGTGTTTCAGGGCTTTATGGCTTATAGTGGAGTGTTTCAGGGCATTATAGCACATTGTGGAGTGTTTCAGGACATTATAGCTTATAGTGGCGTGTTTCAGGGGCATTTTAGCACATTGTGTAGTGTTTCAGGACATTATAGCTTATAGTGGCGTGTTTCAGGGCATTATAGCACATTGTGGAGTGTTTCAGGACATTATAGCTTATAGTGGCGTGTTTGGCGGCATTTTAGCACATTGTGTAGTGTTTCAGGACATTATAGCTTATAGTGGAGTGTTTCAGGATATTATAGCTTATAGTGGAGTGTTTCAGGACATTATAGCACATTGTGGAGTGTTTCAGGACATTATAGCACATTGTGGAGTGTTTCAGGATATTATAGCTTATAGTGGAGTGTTTCAGGATATTATAGCACATTGTGGAGTGTTTCAGGACATTATAGTTTATATTGGCATGTTTGGTGGCATTATAGCACATTGTGGAGTGTTTCAGGACATTATAGCACATTGTGGAGTGTTTCAGGGCTTTATGGCTAGTGGAGTGTTGGAGTGTTTCAGGGCATTATAGCACATTGTGGAGTGTTTCAGGGCATTATAGTTTATAGTGTCATGTTTGGCGGCATTATAGCACATTGTGGAGTGTTTCAGGACATTATAGCTTATAATGGCGTGTTTGGTGGCATTATAGCACACTGTGGAGTGTTTCAGGACATTATAGCTTATAATGGCATGTTTCAGGGCTTTATGGCTTATAGTGGAGTGTTTCAGGGCATTATAACACATTGTGGAGTGTTTCAGGGCATTATAGTTTGTAGTGTCATGTTTGGCGGCATTATAGCATATTGTGGAGTGTTTCAGGGCATTATAGCGTGCACATTATGTGGAGTGTTTCAGGGCTTTATGGCTTATAGTGAGTGTTTCAGTGTTATTCAGGGCATTATAGCACATTGTGGAGTGTTTCAGGGCATTATAGTTTGTAGTGTCATGTTTGGCGGCATTATAGCACATTGTGGAGTGTTTCAGGGCATTATGGCTTACAGCAACGTGTTTGGCTGCATTATAGCACATTGTGGAGTGTTTCAGGGCTTTATGGCTTATTGAGGAGTGTTTCAGGGCATTATAGCACATTGTGGAGTGTTTCAGGGCATTATAGTTTATAGTCATGTTTGGCGGCATTATAGCACATTGTGGAGTGTTTCAGGACATTATAGCTTATAATGGCGTGTTTGGCTGCATTATAGCACATTGTGGAGTGTTTCAGGGCATTATGGCTTACAGCAACATGTTTGGCTGCATTATAGCACATTGTGTTTCCAAGCGCATTATAGTGTTTCAGGGCTTTATGGCTTATAGTGGAGTGTTTCAGGGCATTATAGCACATTGTGGAGTGTTTCAGGGCATTATAGTTTATAGTGTCATGTTTGGCGGCATTATAGCACATTGTGGAGTGTTTCAGGACATTATAGCTTATAATGGCGTGTTTGGCTGCATTATAGCACATTGTGGAGTGTTTCAGGGCATTATGGCTTACAGCAACATGTTTGGCTGCATTATAGCACATTGTGGAGTGTTTCAGGGCTTTATGGCTTATAGTGGAGTGTTTCAGGGCATTATAGCACATTGTGGAGTGTTTCAGGGCATTATAGTTTATATTGGGGTGTTTGGTGGCATTATAGCACATTGTGGAGTGTTTCAGGGCATTATGGCTTACAGCAACGTGTTTGGCTGCATTATAGCACATTGTGGAGTGTTTCAGGGCTTTATGGCTTATAGTGGAGTGTTTCAGGGCATTATAGCACATTGTGGAGTGTTTCAGGGCATTATAGTTTATAGTGTCATGTTTGGCGGCATTATAGCACATTGTGGAGTGTTTCAGGACATTATAGGGCATTATAGTTTTGTAATTATGTGGTTTGGCTGCATTATAGCACATTGTGGAGTGTTTCAGGGCATTATGGCTTGTTTAGCTGCATTATAGCACATTGTGGAGCGTTTCAGGGCATTATGGCTTGTAGTGGAGTATTTCAGGGCATTATAGCTTATAGTGGAGTGTTTCAGGGCATTATGGCTTATAGTGAAGTTTTTGGGTTCATTATAGTGCATAGTGGAATGTTCAAGGCATTATGGCTATCAGTGGAGTGTTTTAGGGCATTGTGGCTTATAGTGGAGTGTTTTAGGGCATTGTGGAGTGTTTCAGGGCATTATATCTCATTTAGGTATGTTTTCATTATTATGATTCATAATGGAGTATTTCAGTGTGTTGTCATAATTAGAGTTCATAGTGGAGTGTTTCAGTGGAGTGTATCAATGTGCTGTTATAATGATAGCTTGTAGTGGAGTGTATCAGTAAACATGACTCGTTGAGGAATGTTTCAGTTGTCTGATGTGATGTTTCAGGGCATGATAGCAACTCGTGAGTTGCCGGAGAGTGGAAGCTCGCTGGCTGCCAGGGCGCTGGCATGGGGGAGCTTCTACTCCATGATGGGTGTGGGTCTGTTCTCCTTCACTGTCTGGAAGCTCATGGGGGTACACAATGTAAGTACCAGCGTCCACACAACTACCCTGCTATCTTGGTATAAACTTCCTATAGGTTCTTTTGAAGGAATACCAGTATTACTTCTCTGAAAAAAATTCTTAATTTTCTGTTGAATCAAGTTTTACTGGCAACATATGTGTACAAGCAGGTCAAAGTATGTTTAATGGAAAGTTTGCATGAAGAATATAGTTTAGAATGACCTTGGTGTTGACCCTACACTTCTTGTAATACCAGAGTCAGACGTCTGCCGAAAGCCAGGGATCAACCATTACCAATTCAGGGAAAACAGTTACTGACTTCATTGCGGTTCTATATTTCTAATTACAGATGAAAGAATTCACAGCCAAGATGCAGTCAATAATGCCTAAAATTCCAAAGAAAGAAAGTCAAGGTCGCACTGAATTCAGTTCCATAAGGGAACTATTTGAATATCTCATTGATGAAGATAAGAAGTCCGACAAGAAATCCTAGCACTCTACCATGGTGAACATTATGGAGAGAGGAACATAATGAACAGACAGGCACCCATTAGAGGGGTCACACAGCCTGGACCAACTCTGGTCACCTTTCATAGGATCGTGATCCAGCCAAGTGATCCATCCTGCACAACAATGTGATCCATCATGTGATCCAGCCTTGGGATTCATGAATCCATGGGATAAGGCAGTGTGATCCAAGCGATAAGGAAAGATTTAGATTGCCAGAGAACAGAGGATGTGGCTTGTTGCCTCGGTGTCTCTTCAGGAGTCTATGTTATGAAGAAATGTTGTGCCACCTTAGAACACTGACTTGCGCACAGCTATATGTGAGGGCATATGTGGAGATAACATTCTCGAAAATTTCTCTCTCTCACTCACTCATTGCATTAACTCCAAACCTTAGAGGGATCTTTCACATCCTAAAGTCTATAATTTATTTCAGCATTGGCAAATTGTTTGATACTTTGAACAAATAGATACAGTGTCGTGGTCACTGTAGTCAGCAACATTCCGACGATAACATCATGTCAAATCTTAACTCTGGGTCGGCGAACACAGTGGATGTTACCCGAAAAGGGATCCATGCTGTCAAGATTTGTTGACACAATCGTCCAGGTGACATGTTGTAACAACCTGGTCTTTATACACACTTGTGAAGGGTTAGAATTGGTCTTCAGCAACCCATGCTTGTGATAAGAGGCAACTAATCTGATTGGGTGACTTGGTTTACACATGTCGTTGTATCCCAGTTGCATAGATTGATGCTCATGTTGTCAATCACTGGATTGTCTGGTTCAGACTCTACAGACTGATGTGGTAGAGCTGATATACTGAGTGCAGTGAATTTATACAAATATATTTAGTTCAGTGAGTAAAAAATATGAAAATACAAGATTTCCTAAAAATGTTATTCATGTGGGAGGAAAAATGGAGCATGGGGAATACTAGCAGAAACAAATGTAGACTTACCTCCTTCTGTCATAGGGCTGAATCTTCCAATCTATTTTATAATTTGTTTTGAAGCTTTTGAGATACATTTTCAACAGGTTTAATATGTCTCTATTGATAGCAACAGAAAATGAGTTTAAATATTTTTTATTTATTCATGTTGACAGATATGTTTTGTTAGTGCATAGTGTCACATACATGTGTGCAGTGCCTGAGTATAGATTGCTGGGATGGACGTCCACATAGTGCAAAATGTGATATGGAAAATGTGATGTATCTGAAACAGCCTGGAGTTGACATGTGAACTGTGATTACATCACTTTAATTCTAGTTATTGAAATAAACTAATTTTGTACATCTGTTTCTGCTGTCATTTTGTCCTGCCAGATACCATTGTCAGTATTAAGTGGTAATTGCATTCTCACAGGAATACAGGGTTGATTGATAGTCACGTGTCTCTGTTTTCAGTTGTGGATTGAAATTGGGTTGTGTATAACTCAGGTGATTCCTCACCATTGCCTGATATTGAAGCAATGTGTAGAGTGGATTACCATGAGGTTGTAAAGCACTGTAGACGAAATTTTGAATGTGAGCTCTCGCTGGAAGCAGGCTGTAGTTTGATGATCCCTCTTTTCTTAGAACTAGGAATACTTTAATTTTTGCCCAAATTATGTGTGAAATCACACCCATGGTGTTTGGTCATCTTGTCTCAGGGATATCATACATGCATATCTCTATTATAGCTCTTGAAATTGTTTGATTCATTATTATGTCATGTCAAGGTCATCCTGAAGGTCAGTGCTGCCACCCTATTTACTGTTACTGGTATAGTGAACTGCATAGTTGAGGGTCAGGGTCATGAAACCAGAGGTACAATAAAGCTTTCTTATTAATACATCTACAGACAGGGCTTTCTATGTTACAGTGGTCTTGTATTGGGCATGTGTTTTAGCAAAACTGAGGTGGTGGTGCAAAACTGAAAGTGTGTATTGTGAATTGCCATATTGGTTCATGATGCAGGTTTCTGATGAGAAGGTTCTGGGCAAATGAGAAAACACTGAGTATAGGGCGGCTTCTGCCTTTATACATGCACAAACGCCCTGTGCGAGGATTCTTAATTTAGGTCACCGACACCGTCGTTTGTTTTCTGCCTTAAATTAAACGTAATTATCCTTAGAAAGTATTAAATTTGGCATCTTAGAAAAGAAATACAATTCGCTTCTACCACCATGTATAGTGTTACAATAAGAGCCCTGAACTATTATGACGTTAAAAAAGCAGCCAGAAGCATTCTTGGGCAATAGAGGATGAGTGAGTGAGTTGGGTTTTACGTCACTTTTAGCAATATTCCAGCAATATCTTGGTGGGGGACACCAGAAATGGGCTTCACACATTGTACCCATGTGAGGAAACGAACCTGGGCCTTCTGCATTACAAGCGAATGCTTTAACCACTAGACTACCCCACCACCCCAATGGAGGATGAAACAAACCAGGGAAGTACTGATAATGTCCAGATCACCTTTAAATAGCATCGCTTTGAAGCACTGACGCAGGCTCATATTGTTAACCTTACACAAGTGTAAAAGAAACCCATCATGAAAATCCATCTTGAATCTATGAAATTAATTTTCATGATCAATGAGGCAACATAAACACATATTAGCAAGCCACTGATAATTTCACCAAGAATTTTTCAATAAGAGGTGTAGAGTTCTGACTACAGCATGTAATATTCTTGCCCGAAATAACTATAATGAACATTACTTGTTATTGAACAAAAATTGACATTTACTTTATCAATTTATATGAAACAATATTCTGACATTCATTGTCATACACTATTTGTGTATATGATTACTCTACACTGAAGGATTATCTAAACAATATCTTTGGTATATTTTCATTGCTTTAGGGCACGTTTCTGTACCAAGTGCAAATTAGTTTTAAAAATAGAAATGAATCTTGAATGGAGGAGGTAAATCTGCAGAGTTGCCTTCCTTGCCATACTCTTCATACTTGGAGTTCACATCCCCGATTATGTGTCGTGGTCTTTCTTTCTTTCAATGCCGCTGTAACAATGACAGTTCCGATCAAGAAACAGTGAGGAATGGACTTGTCCCAGGTTACATTTCTGTATTATCTGATTTTGGCTACGGTACGTTTCAGTATACAGAAATGTACCTACGGTACATATCTGTAGCACAGTGCCGACGACCCCTTTGGCCACAATGCCCCTGTTTTTTACAGGTAACCTCTGAGTATCCTTGTCAGTTAACTGACCTACTGCAATATGAGTGAGTGAGCATGGTTTTACGCCGGTTTTAGCAATATTCCAGCAATATCACGGCAGGGACACCAGAAATGGGCTTCACACATTGTACCCGTGTGGGGAATTGAACCCGGTCTTTAATGTGAGGAGCAGACGCTTTAATCATTTGGCTACCCATCACCCCCGCTGGTATTTGAAGCGTGTCTGTCTTACATATGTTGGATGTTAAGTACACCCTTAACAGTTGGCACATGTTAAGACCTATACTTTCCATGCTTACAGGTTCCAGCTGAAGTATTCACACCAATGTCTCTAAGTATTCTCTGTTGATGTTAACAGAGTCAGATACCAAGCTGTCATGAAAGGGCTAATTCCAACTGGCATCCATTGGCAACACAACCAAACACCTGTTCAGACAAAACAATAACGCAACAACAGCACACCTTAAATGTAATTTATATTTGTCTTGTTACAAGTATATTGCTTTTCTAGCTCAATATTTGAAAATAACCTTTCTGATACCTGTGTATTACAAAATGTTTGTACATACTGACAGACAGAATAGGAACACTTCATATGGTTACAATTCTGCTCGACATGAATATTCATATGTTTGAGGATGATAATAAAGTATAGTAGCTAGGTAAGAATCGGTCTGTATTCTATACAATACTAACAAAGTCTCACTAAGCCTTGACTGCAGATATTTACACCTTCGGTCTTCAACTGATACAACAGTTGTGACCCTCGATCGGACGACGACGATGTCTCGTCACTACACTATACACATGTACATTTTATATACACACCATTTTATGCTCAAACTAAACAGTTATCACAGTGTGGAGGTAGGGTATTAGTTACAGTAACTGACTCGAATCTCCATGGTTTCACAAAGTAGTCCTAGCGTTGTAACAGGTATTCTTTAGTCCTTGTAATGCAAAGTGATCTTAAGGCTACGTTTGTTTAGTCATGAGAGTTGTGATAGTTGTATTACTGAGACAGAGTGAGTGAGTATGGTTTTCCGCCGCTTTTAGCAATATTCCTGCAATACCACGGCGGGGGACACCGGAAATGGGCTTCACACATTGTACCCATGTGGGGAATCGAACCCGGGCCTTCGGCGTGACGAGCGAACGCTTTAACCACTAGGCTACCCCAACGCCCCATTTTCCCCGAGACTGATTTGGGGCACCTTTGACTGGACTAAACTGTTTGTCCATCCCTTTTAAGATGTATTTCTCAATCCCTATCGATGATGATGATTTGGAGAATTTAGTGCGATTTCCGGCATTATGCATATTTCGCACAAGGGCCCTAACACTAATGAAGAGTTGCTTTATATATCCATCCATATGCACCGTTTTCTCATTCAAAGGAATTTTATAAAAAGTGTTTTTCTTCCACCCAAACCGACAAACTAGCATGGATGACCTCATTCTAAGATGACCCAGTGAAACCCAGCCAGTGCTGAACACATTCAGTATGGTTTATATACCCTGGACAGTATGCCACAGCATAACAGCTGTTAACACAAGTCTACAAATTTCACATTCAGAACATTATTTTGGGGAAGATTCCCCCACAGACACTTTCCTGGAGGAAATCCTCACAGACTTTCTTACAGACAGCTAGATGGTGTAACTTATACACAAGTTGAGATTGGTAATGATGGTGCTGACAACAAAATGGAGGTTATACATGCACGCAGCAATGAAACACAAACTGAAGCAAGAATGAGTAAAAAATAAGTTTTCCAGACACATGACCCTTTACGCAACAAAATCTGCAGAAAATACTCAACTCTGCATAAGGAACACAATGGACCCAGTCGTCCAAGTGAACTGAACATATTTCAGCATTAGACAAATACACACAACAGTCCATCAGAAAATGTGCTGTACAAGTACATACCTGTCAACTCTCACGCATTTGGTGTGAGTCTCACGCTTTATTGACAAATGTCACGCTCTCACGCCTCCAAATAATAATCTCACGCATATCTGGTAGCCAAAAATAATTTCAAAATTAATACGCATTTTCGTTCGTTTTTGCGTAAAGTTGAACATTGAAAGAACACCTGAATGAATGAAGTACTAAAACGATGTTTATGCCAATGATTCGGCTTATTATTATTTATTAGCATGCATCTTTTAGTGTCAAAATAATGCCACCAGAAGGCTCCAAATGCTCCTGAAAATCACTAAACTTCATTTTCGGGGCGGGGGGCTTCGCCCCCCCACTAGGGTGTCGCCCTCGACATGACCCTGGCTGGACCCCGGCTTATTTTTTTCAGTCTCACTCCAAACCATCTTTAGGGGTTGACAGCTCTGCAACTAACGTTAGTTTATACAATTTCATTTCCCTACATGGAAAATATTCTACTAATTTCCAAACAAGAAGACTAGCATGTCATGTTCATGACTCAGATCATCATGATTTTAAATAACAGTTACCTGCACTTGTGTAGAGGGCCAGTGTCTTTGTTAAACCTGCTGTAACAATGCTGAGAGATTCTTAGTGGAGTGAAATGGTCAAACTACAAGAAAAATGTGATTTCCAATTTGGACAGAAGTAGAAATTGTGTATGAATAATAACAGAGCCATAATCCTGGAAGGACTCAAGGTTTCAAAACCTTCTGCTTCTGAAAGTCTGTACATGGAGTGAGTGAGTGAGTCTGGTGTAACTCTGCTTTCAACATCCTTCCAGTTACATCAGGGCATGTCGGATCAGCATGAGAGTAAAAGCCCAAGTGATGCCAGTCTCCGACATTTACCCATACGTAGACGTAGGATATTGATGAAGATGGGTATAATATGATGTAAGTACAAAGGAATACAATGAAGTTCACCTGGCAGGAATTGTTGATTTTATCACAGTGATCATTATGCATAATGTATTTACAACTGTGACCAAATTTCATTCACATGTCATGAAAACAAACAATAATATTCAATCAAAAATGGCATCAAAATAGAAACATTATGGACTTGAAGCAGTTACATACTTCATAAAGATAAACAGGTATGGACGGTTGCTGATTATTTTTTACAACTATATACATCGTATCATGACACAAAACACATACATTTGCATTTCTGGCTGAGGCATCCATATTTTTTCACATATTTCTCACCTTCTTCAAACAGAGGCTTCATATTCTTGCCTTTGGTTGAGAATAAAACCAGCAAGCTGTCTATAATGATAAGATAAGTCATGTCCCTTCTGAATTAGGAACATTTTCCAAAAGTGGAAGTTTTCAAAAACTGGACACTGCGCTTCATTAGCTGTTGTCTTGACAGCCGAAACAAATTTATAACATCCTCTTAATATTATTCTTTTATGAAACAGAAACTGAAAACAAACCACCAATTTCTTCCATTTTTTTGTTGTATGACATAAGTTAGGCCTGGGAGGAGATGAGAAACATAAAAATACACATGGATGGAAGAGCAGAATATTTTGTGGAGAAGACATTCATTGTGCATTTAAGTCCGCTGTGTCATAAGTGCATGGAAAAGCAATACAGCTGACGGTATATGAGTGAGTTTTAGTTTAACACCATTTTGTGTAGTATTCCAGTGATGTCATGTATCAAACACACTATCACAGGTTCCTGATATGCTCAAGGGACACAACTTTGCACAGCCTACTGTGAAATGCTTGATACACCTGAAACATTTCCACCAAAGGAAATTCATATCAGCTGAAGTAAAATATATTGAGTTAATAATAAAACTAGTACATTCCATTTGAAAATAGTAAGTTTCAATGTATGTCCACTCTATTTTACATGTAAGTCTACTAGACTGGTAGTGATTTGCATCAATACATACTGTTACGATAATTGTATCCTGTCACTGGGTATTTCTTTGCATTTGGTGAACTGTTAAACCCCTATTCAAGTCCAGGAAGCTATAGCTGATAGGTGGTGCTCTAGCTAGCCCAGGACAAGCAGGGTGACAGGACCTTACAGTTACATTATCTTCAAGTGCATAGCAATCTAGCGGAGTTCAGGACGGTTAACTGCCATATTGATATTCATAACATATAATTCAGATTATAGGCAAACTTACGGAAGCGTCCTAGTGCCACAGTCTGAATTTTTTTATCTCCTAATTAGGAGATGCTATCTCCTAATTAGGACTTACTATCTCCTAATTAGGACTTAGCTATCTCCTAATTAGGAGATAATATCTCCTAATTAGGAGTTACTATCTCCTAATTAGGTGATACTATCTCCTAATTAGGAGTTACTATCTCCTAATTAGGACTTAGCTATCTCCTAATTAGGACTTAGCTATCTCCTAATTAGGAGTTACTTTCTCCTAATTAGGTGATACTATCTCCTAATTAGGAGTTACTTTCTCCTAATTAGGTGATACTATCTCCCAATTAGGAGTTACTATCTCCAATTAGGAGTTACTATCTCCCCAATTAGGACTTAGCTATCTCCCAATTAGGACTTAGCTATCTCCCAATTAGAGATACTATCTCCTAATTAGGAGTTACTTTCTCCCAATTAGGTGATACTATCTCCCACTAGGAGTTACTATCTCCCAATTAGAGTGATACTATCTCCCAATTAGGAGTTACTATCTCCTAATTAGGATACTATCTCCTAATTAGAGATACTATCTCCACTAGGGACTTAGCTATCTCCTAATTAGGGAGATAGTATCTCCTAATTAGGAGATAGTATCACCTAATTAGGAGATAGTATCACCTAATTAGGAGATATTATCTCCTAATTAGGAGATAGCTAAGTCCTAATTAGGAGATAGTAAGTCCTAATTAGGAGATAAAAAAATTCAGACTGTGGCACTAGGACGCTTCCGTACAAACTGGTTATGGAATGAGAATATTCATTTGCTGAAGAATTGTTACAAGTTTACAAAACGATACATAAACAGTGAGATCTATGAGTTTACTGTATAAGAGGATGAGACTGAGGGCTAGTGGCTCTCGCCGATGAGCAACAAAGGGATACACTACCAACCATTGTTTGGCATGATCATACAATTCAGGGATACCTCATCTTTCCTTGATCACTATCTGAGCAAATGGTACACAGCCTACAGCACAGCCGGCAATGATGGGGAGAGATAATTAGACTACAGATATATGTATATTCTCCCTACCTCATTTACACCAGCAAATAAACAACTCACACTGCAGTAGTCTAGAAATAGTGGATTAAGTTAAACAGGGTATTATAACAAAAAATACTGCAGTTTGTCAAAAACTTCTAACTTTACAAATAAAACATTCTTCCTCTTGCTTCCATGATTATATTTTACCAGACACATGTGCAAGTTATACATTTTGAAAGAAAACTAAGTTCTATGGATAGTCAGCTTCTTTATTGCAATGAGTGCGATGTTTCGGTGTAGGTACTAACACCGTTATCAAGCAAGTTAGTACCGGTACTACACCGAAATGCCGCAATCATTGCAATAAAGAAGTTGACTATCCACAGAACTTGGTTTACCTTCACCTGTACAACTTCTAAAATGCCTCTCAAAGAAGGTATACATTTTGAGTTCATTTAGTTTGAGCAATAAGGTTTAAACTTAATTTACTGTTAAACATTTGAGAGGTAATATGTGCACTCTTACTCCGGACACCTACTTACTGATAATTATGGCTTTCAGGTTTTGCTGGAATCAGTCTGTTACAGATTACTGATGTCCAAATTATTCTTCCATGAACTCATTCCATGGTGTTCTAGGAAATTATTTTGGCATGTGTCATGGAATGTCCTGAGGTCAGTGTCTCAAGATAGAAACGCTAAAATATGTTTGTGGTTACGCTCTTTCAGGTGTTCATGCATTTATTCTTAAACTTGGTATGTACATATTTTTAGAATGCAGCATCCTTTGAAATGGTTTTGGTCAAAAGTCAAAGGTCAAGGTCAGAATTCAGATTTCTGAAAAACACAGATATACAAACGTCTGATTCTGAGGCAAGGTTATGTCTACAGCAAGGAAACTTTCTTTGCCTTGTCTAATGTTGGTGCATGTCTATCACAGGTCAAGGTCATCTTTTGATATTATTGTAAAACATGGTTGTTTTAGTAATTGACAGTTACTGATGCAAATTTAATTATAAACTCTTGACACCTGGTATTTGTTGGATATTCATAAGTTGTCTTAAGTTCTTGAAGTAATATTTTGTAACTGAAGTATGATGTAGAAGCTTTGAGCAGACGGCAGCGAAGAGGTTGCTCCTGTTTTGGAGAACACTTCTAGTTACCATCTGGCAAGAGGTGTTCAATGCACCAGAGGTGTAGAAATCAGGATCTAATTATGCAGTGTTCTGAATCAATACATGCTCAAATATATGGTCGTACACTAAAAACCTGATGAAACTATATTTATACATTTTGTGTTCTTATACAGTTTAGCTTTGATTTCCCCTGACCTGAAAAGTTAAGGTACTGAAAACCTGATTCATTGTTTCAATATTCACCTGAATTTATCAATACAAAAAATGTCCTCTTTCAAAGACAAACTCCATCCAATCTCACACTCGAACATGGAACAGCCCCGGTTCTGTGTGAAGGCAGGTCTTCTGTCCCATGGTCGCATGTAGCATACTACAGAATATCAGAATATCACATCAGCTTCTTCAACCAAGAGTCTGGATGCTACTGGTGATGCCTGCTTGTTGATAAACGCATGCATAACACTACAGGCATCCATTTGTCCACCTGGCACCCAGCACCAAGAGGTTATGGCAGTTACTGAGTTATCTCCCTTTGAAAGATTTTCCCGCCAAACGTTTACATCCATTCCTTGATATGATCACAATATTGTGCAGAATCGTGACTGAAAATGAAGGAATGTACAATTACACAAACAGTTTACAAATCATATTCAAACAACAGAATCATATGAGAGGTATACAGTGAGAGAACATGTGATTGTGTGTGATTGTGTGTGAATGCATGAATGAATGTGTGAGTAAACGTTCACTTGTGTTCACAGTCAGCAATATTCCAGCTGTATCAACCTGTGGTCAACAGCAAGAGCAGCAATCCCTGTCTACACAGCGTCCCACAATAAGCCATTCTCTCACTGTGACCACCTAATCCCAGTTAGGTAGTTCATCTACTGGAGATCTGCTCTCCACTGTCATCTCCCCCACTTCTACCACACAGTTGAGACAATTGTGGCACTGTGTTCATCAGTTTCACACCTGAGAGTTCCTGGGAATTTGAACGACAGTTTACAAATACTGTCCGACTTGTTCGACTTCTGTTCAAACAACAGTGTATGGGTACCCGGTGGCATGAGAAAATAGTGTTTTAGTTTGTATACTTCACTGGGGGCTGATAATTACAGTTGAGTGAATACCTAACCCAAGATGGGGGATAATACCAATGAAGGATTCATTATTACTGGTTTTATCCCTAACATCATGAATTTCAACTAAATTTGCGATATTTTAGACTCTATCTCTCTTATTGCATTTCTGCAAATGACTCTTGATGATCTGGTGGAAATGAAATTTAGATGATGCATCCTTTATGCACCTGGCCTCAAAACACTTCACCCAAACACAACCCATCCACAAGTGTGCAGCATGCTCTTGGCATACCCCATTCCCACTCAATGTCCAGAGAGCTCAATGCAAGGTGTAACACAGTTCATACAGATTATCAGCCATTAAATATAAGGCCCTTTATAGGGCCTTATCAAGGTCTAATCAACACTTTTAAGGCCCTTTAGAAACACATAGAACATAAGTAGTTGAACAAAGACAAGGTGGGTAGAATGTGGGATCAACCATCAAAGGGAATTTACTATCTAAGCTATATCGCTGTGCTGAGAAAGTTTTGTTTCATGATGGAGATTAATTAATGCACATTGGCATTTTTTATGCATTAGTTTCCAGTTAAATTATAAATTGACAAGTTTTGCTAAATTTAGGGCCTTTTCAGGGCAAATCACTGGCAATTAGGGCCTTTTCAAGGCTCAAAACGTAATCAGGGCCTCTTTAGGGTAAAACACTCAAATTTAAGGCTTGTTCAAACCTGTGCGAACTCTGTCTAAAATAGTATAATTTTATTTGCAGTACCAATCTACCCTTGCCCTACAGGCCTTCTCACCTTCTTCTTGGGTGGGGGTGCTTCTTCCTTCTTCTCCTCTTCCTTCTTGTCCTTCTCTCCATCCTCTGCTTTGTCCTCCGCCTCTTCATCATCTTCTTCCTCCTCCTTTCCTTTCTTCTTATCTTTGTCCTTCTTCTTATCTTTGTCCTTTTTCTTATCTTTCTTATCCTTCTTCTTGTCTTTCTTGTCAGTCTTCTCCTGAAATAATGTAATAATGACAGTAACCACAATGATGATGACAGACTACAAACGTTTTTTGAAAATTAGCCCCTTAATTGCTGAGAATGGTATAGTCTGTTCCTTAAGGATAAATACATCCATATCTTGAATAATATTTGGTATCATTACCCACGTGGTCAACGTATGGGTAGTTGCATACTAATCTCGTACGTCACACGTGTGTCGTATCGCGTTGACCTGTGTCGTAACGACTTGACCTGAGATTCTAACGATTTGATTGGATAACCGATGACCTCTCAATTAGGTCACATTCTGACGTAACTATATTTTCATTCATAACAAACACGTGAATTCATTCATTCTACAACTTAAATGCATTGTGGGAATGTAAGCATCGAGAACGTTGCCGGGTCGCTGTTTAATTGTGAGTCTAACTGATACATTATATCCGGCTTTAAAACATAAACGCAATGTTTCCACCAGTGATGTTAATGTAATGAAGCAACTGCAAACCAAGAAACGGGTGCTACGGAGTAGTTTACTGTGGTGGAGGCTGTTCGAGGCGATGACAACTGTCATGCATCGCGGACGCCGGTTACCAAGGCAGTGACGCCATTTTGGTGTGACGCCATGCAAATATTGTACTACAGTACAAAACTCTTCCGCGAACCCCTTTATGAAACCGGTTTCGCTTGAAACCAAAATATTAACAAAAATACGCTATTTTTGTCAGTTTAATGCATGTAAGACGGGGAATAATAAATACACACTCAGTTCATTACATACTTAATTCATACCGAATCGTGGTTTTATGTTATCTGACCTTGCTTTCGCCGGGTCAGATACCACAGGAAGGACACTCGTTTCGTATAATTAGTATGTAATGAGACCTCGTGTAGTATTCTCTATTTATTATCAATGGCTTCACTGTTAACTCTTCCACATACCTCTTCTTCATCTTCCTCCTCCTCTTCATCTTTTCCTTTCTTCCCCTTCTTCTTGTCTTTCTTTTTATCTTTCTTCTCCTTTTCTTTTTTATCTGCAACACAACTTGACTAGCTTATCATTTCAAACTGCCCCTAAGACTAACAGGCTATGCTGCTATGACTACATCAAACCCATGACACATCAAACAAGAGTCATCAGAAGATGACATATCCCTCCGGCCCCCACATATTTGAAAGAACAAATCATCTGACAGTTACTTAAAATCCAGCTTGACTTTTTTTAAAACTAAGTCCAAATCATTTCAATGGAAATCATGAGAAATATAAATGCCAAAAATCTGTAAATAGCATTTGGCACCATTTCAAAATTTGCCTAATATATCTGCCAAGTTCTGTTGAAAGATACTGAACGCTTTTCGAGTTGTGCACTGGAAATAAAGCCCATCCCTCCCTTTTAGGACTAAGTCCTAATCGTTTCCATGGAAACCGGGAAAAATAAAGATGCCAAAAATCTGCCAAATAGCAAAAGGCACCACTTTGGCATCTGCCAAGTTTTGCTGAAAGATACAGTCAAATCCCGATGAGTCGAATGCCAGTGTCTCGAATATTATGGATAACTCGAAGTACCTGTCGGTCCCGACCATTCCCTGTTATAGTTGTCATCATTTGAATACCGGTAACACGAATTCGTCTCATAAATACACACGATGACTCGAGAAGGAAATTTGGTCCCATGAGATTCAAACAACAGCAATCTTGTATACATAAGCGGAAGTCAGTCAATGAGAAGTTGATTGGTGTAGCAAACTGATCCAATTAACAAACCAGCGCGGCTCACACCTTTCCGCCATTGACGGGTGAGTTCAAAAGGCAGATTTGTGATTTTACGGAAATCACTGTCTGTGCTAATCAGACTGGAACTGATAAGGTGCCCCTATTAGTGATAGGGAAATCATTAGGTAAACAAATGCTTAGGTGGAGGAATTAGGACTGGATCATCTTTTTTTCTACCCTCATAGACATACCTATGTCTCGAATACATCGATAAGTCGAATGTATTACTTGGTCCCCAGCGATTCGACTCATCGGGATTGGACTGTATTAAGAAGTTTTCCAGTTGTGCTGTGGAAACAAAACCCACCCTCCCTTTTGAGTCTGAATCGTTTCCATGGAAACCGAGAAAATAATAAATCACAAAAACCTGCAAATGGCAAAAGGCACCACTTTGGGATCTGCCTCACATATCTGCCAAGTTTTGCTGAAAGATATTAAAAAGTTTTCCAGTTGTGCTCCGGAAACGAAACCCACCCCTCCATTTTGAGACTAAGTCCGAATTGTTTCCATGGAAACCGAGAAAATAATAAATCATAAAAATCTGCAAATAGCAAAAGGCACCACTTTGGCATCTGCCTCACATATCTGCCAAGTTTTGCTGAAAGATATTAAGAAGTTTTCCAGTTGTGCTCCAGAAACGAAACCCACCCCTCCCTTTTGGGACTAAGTCCTAATCGTTTGTATCAGGCAGTCTTAGTTGACTTCAGGTTCAATCATTCATACTCCAAAGAACCACTGATGTTCTGCAGCAAGAGCTCCCACCTTTCTTCTTCTTTCCTTTTACATTCTCTTCCTCCACTTCATCTTTTTCTTCCTCCTCCTCGTCTTCTTCAACAGCAGCTTTCTTCTTCCCAAACAGACCCACACCCTTCTTTTGCTTCTTGTCTGAAAGAGATGTAGCTTCTTAAGTCAATGATGGCGGTGGGGTAGCCTAGTGGTAAAAGCGTTTGCTCATCTCTCCGAAGACCCGGGTTTGATTCCCCACATGGGTACAATGGAACACCATTTCTGATGTCCCCCGACCGATACTGCAGGAATATTATTAAGCGTCGTAAAACTAAAACTCACTCACTCACTCTTAAGTCAATGAATCCAGCAGGGGTACACCTACATTCCACTTAATGAAAATCTTATGTATTAGACTAAAAATACTGTTTTCATGTGGCTGGCTTTCCTCTGTAGGAGAATCATGACAGTGGTAGTGCTACACCTATTGTACATCTAGTGTGAAATATGTGAGTCCTGTGATGGTACTGGTGCCTAGCTGAACATAACACTGGATAGCAAGAATATGTATTTAACAGACGTTATTTCATTATAGATGACACCCAAGCAGGAGCAGTGACTTGATCAGTTGTATCTAACACATATGAACCAAACATACAAGAACAATCTTGGCACACAAATGATAACCTGAAAACACACCTTTCTCCTTCTTCTTGTCTTTCTTGCCCTTCTTTCCTTTCTTATCTTCTTCCTCCTCCTCCTCTTCGTCTTCTTCTTCATCTTCCTCCTCATCTTCTTCAGCCTTTTTCCTGGGGGTGGGAGTTGGTCCAGGCAAGGAGCGAGGCTGAAACAACCAACACTCTCAGTCACTACCAGACGACAAGATCAATGACGGTCAACCTGATCAATTTGGGATGAGAGGCATAAGCGAAGGTATGGTGTCTTGGATCAAAATTTGAGTTAATCTGGGAGCCAACCCTCCATCGGTGTACAATGGCTCAGCAATAGGATGCAACTCTGGTCGAGTCAGTCAAGCAAATTATCATTTGAAACAAATCATTGAAATGTCTAACAAATATAATGCACTAATAGTTCAAGCAGTGTTTATGTAATTTTTTTAGAATCTCTGACTTTGAGCTTTGATATCTGTGCAGCATTTGAACTGATTTTGTGTTTGTAGCCAGAATATTTGTAATGCAAACACTTAGAATTTGCATTGTATAAAGTAGGTCAGAAAAGGGTCAATTTGTTAACGATAAACTACAGTTGAAACAATAATGTGACATCACGGGTGTATTTCTTATATACACATATTAAGAAATACATGTTAAGATAAAAACAGAAAAGAAAAATGAAAGAATTTTTGAAATATGACAAAGAACACACAATATGTTTGGGGATAAGTTTAAAGATAAACTGTCACCATCCATCAACTGATATTTCTTTCTTATCAACAACGTCACGTTTCACATGGTTATCGCATCAACATGTCTGTTTGCCACACTCAGTAATCTTTTATCTACAAGATGGCCATTTATTAATGATGGATGAGACAATCCAGTGATTGACATCATGAGCATCAAGCCCAACAGTTGAGATAAGATGACATGAAGTCAAACAAGTCTCAAACATGTGGTAGATTGCCTTTGTTTATCAGAGATGCCAACCCTAATTCAGCCCAATTAGTATTTTCACCAAAAATGATGCCAAAATTAGTATCAACTTTTGCAAAGAATTTTCACATTTAATAAAAAATATATACCAGTAGATATTCTGAGAACTTGTTATTAACATTGTAAACACCTAAAGCAGTAGTAAGTATCCACATATAGATTGATACTGAATAAAATGTGGTTGAAATTAATTGTGTATGGTACGTATGTTATTTGATAATTTAATGTATTTTGTTTTGAATTCGTATATTTTTACTTCTATTGTAGTCACATATTTTGTGTTGTATTTTTCGTAACGAATATGATAAAATCGTATGGGTTGGCATCTCTGGAATCGAAACCTGGGCCTCCGACGTGACAAGCGAAAGCTTTAACCACTAGGCTACCCCACCGTCCGGCCATTGTTTGTGAGAAGCATAGGTTGTTTGGGGCCTACAGTCTTTGTGAAATAATCCTGTGTTAAGATGGTGAATAACAGACAGCTGAGATTGTTCTATTGCAACTAACTCATTTCCATTTCTATCAAAGATGCCCATTTCTAATTATAGATTTTTGCGATTTGTTTTAGAAATGTCCCATTTTGTTCAGTTCATACTTACCAGTTTCTGAAAGTTGCTACAGAAACAAAATCATGAAGATACAATGTCAAAACAACAGAAGGATTTACGATCAACAGTACAAAATTCAGCCATGAGAAGCACAACCACTATCAGTACAAGACAACTGTCACCACGTTAGATATCACACAGCCAGATTAGCTACATGCTACAACGTGCAGTAGGTTAGTATGGTGTCAACTGATGCAACTGAGAAGAAAATGTTGCTGTGTCAGGAACAAGCAATACATGTGCCGTGCGTGAAGAATACAATACCTGTGCCCCGTTCCTCAAAGCGATCGTAACCCAATGACAATCGTAACTCCCATACTTTAACATAGACTTACGACAGTCGTAGCGCTACGATCGCTTTGAGGAACGAGGCCCTGGTCAGATATGAAGTCATCATGCCTGACATTATAGGAAACAACTGAAAGTGTTTTCAAGGAATCTGCAATCCTTGTGAACTTAAACAATTTATTGCCTTACTCTAAACTCCATGAAATGCTAATGATCTGCAAACACAAGGAAATGTCAGACTCCATGAATGATTCAGAAACTTATGAGGAAAAGCATGTGTTGTGATTATTGTCCAACAGAACAGTGCAGTGCCAACCAGTTGTCTCCCCTTGATCACAGCACAAACCTGGGGCTACCGAGGAATGTCGCTAAAATCATATATTGCAGGTATTGTCTGTTATTGGTTTCATCACCTTGTGTACTGATCAAGCTGATATAACATTAAGAATTTTATTTTGATTTGATAAAAAGATCAAAGGAGAAGTTTAAGGACAAATTGAACATTTGACAAGCTGAACTCGACTCTGCCCAGCCTGGTGCTGTGACCAAAGATGGGATCTGATAGTGGTGTTAGCTCTGTGGTGCCCCACCCAACACCTTACTTGGGGGTCCTCATTCTCCTTCTCATCGCTTAGTTCATCATCCCCCTCTTCCTCCACGCCATTCTGCAGCTCCTCCACCTTCTCCTCCTCACTCCACTTATCATCCTCCTCCTCCTCCTTCCTCCGGATTCCCTTCTCCTCCTCATCCTCCGACCCTGCCACCCCCTCGTCCTCCGAGTCCTCCTGTGAGCAACAACTAGTCTAACTGGCCAAGCCCAAGCAGCATCATGCATGCAGATTAGGAGCCTCTGCTATTTTGTTACACCATTGCCATGGCAACCATCAGACCAGTCATAAATACATGCTTGTTTATGGCAACATGTGATGGTTATTTGGATTGTGATCGAAAACACTTTCAAAGTATGTCAGGATATTGCCCGACTTAGATTTTTGCTCTTACAAATTAACCTCTGACAATCAATCATAGAGAACTAATATACCATTCTCATTTTCCAATCACAATAAACTGTCGAAATTACTGTACTGACATCAACTTTACGAGAAACACATCCACTTTCTTATGTGCATAAAGATTTCCCTTACTCCTGTAACAAAGGAAGCAATTGCTACAATGGGTGCTTTCTAGCAGTCTGTGCTCTGAAAACGCTTGAGTTTTGATGGTAACGATTATTTTCATGATCTTTTGTGACTCATATACAAGCAGCTAACTGCACATCTCCTAGTGCAGTTTTCATTAATGCCAGATATCTTAGCATATGCAAGGTAATAAATGTATCCTTCTAACCTGACTGAAACAGAAATCCTCAGAGACAATTGGGTTCTGACTTCATGTGATTCCTGTCGGAGGTCAAGGTCAGGAGAGGTCACCAAATCAGCATGTTGCCATAACCAAACCTCACTTACCACTGACCTGATGGTGGACTAACAGAACTAGTTAAGTATTTACTGGTGTATTGTCATCTCTGAATCATCAAGATTCCATTAGTTATGACAAAATGTAACATCACCTCATGCTCTCAGAAAACATATTAAAAATTCATTGGACATGTTTTGATATGTCTCAAAATAATGTCAAATAAAAACTTTCAATTTTGACTGACATACAGGTCCAGTATATTTGAATGAGAGATGTACTCAATAAGTACTTAGATGCAGGGAGATAATCTTCCCTGTCAAGAGAACTATTCTGATACCAATGTTAGTCCTCCCATTACTCATCCCAACATACACACATTCATGGCATATATTAATACATCCTTTGATACAAACATACAAAATCTCACTGATATGTAATGGTGAATAAAGTATCTTCAATTTGAGCATAAAATTGAAAATTTAACCATTTGACTTGGCTTGATTTTCAGTCTTCAGTGACATTTGCAATTGCGAACAAGAATGAGTTGAAACGTAACAATGTTTTGACAAGACTGACTGACTGACTGAGTATGGTTTTACGCCGCTTTTAGCAATATTCCAGCAACATCGGCGTGGGGACACCAGAAATGGGCTTCACACATTGTGCCCATGTGGGGATTCGAACCCGGGTCTTCGACGTGACGAGCCAACGCTTTAACCATTAGGCTACCCCACCGCCCGTTTTGACAAGAAGTCACAGTCCATGGCATGAACGACATGCCAGCCATGCCACTACCAATGGTCCCAATAACTCAGTCAGAAATATTTAGGAAATTCCTGTCATGATTATTTTCGACAATGGAACATCACAAAATCTAGATCAAGATGCAAGCCGACTTCTCTCTAACCAAACCAACATGAACACACTATCACTATGCATGCAACACAGTCTTCACTTCTACACACAGTTGGAGGACACACAATGGCTACCTTGGGTTGTGGGGCCTTCGTCTTGGGAGATCCTCTGGGAAGTGGCTGGGGGGTGATTTTCTATCAGAGGGGTAAGAAAGCAAGAGTGTTAATGGTCTATCTGTTGCCTGCGTCTTGAAGTACAGGAGTGTTCATGTACACAAACCTTGATGTGAAAAATGTGATGGTGTCACTATCAATACCTGGGATTCAGATGGGTTCATTTTCTTAGACAGTGACAGAAGATTAATTTTTTTTTGCTAATGATATAAAAAAAATATTTCCGATTAGAATTTATTAAAAGAACTGGAAATATCATAATCCCATTTGTCTCAACATGAATGCAACAGAATCATACATTCATACCACTTGGAGCATATTCACAACTTTAGCTGCCGTGTATGCTAAACCAAATTTTACATACTAACATCAACTATGGGCCCAGGGGTACAAGAGCTCTCTAAGGTTGGAGATTATTAAAAACTGCAAAAACCTGAAGGAGATTGCGATTGTGTAAGATATTCTGATTTTCACTCACAAACTGTGAATGTCAGCCTTTTCATGATAAAATCTTACATTATTTTGAGATTAATCAGATTATTAGGCCAACATTTCTCCTTGAAACATAATTTAGACTCGATAAATTATCTAGGTTTGTGTACATGACTACACAGAAGAAAACTCAAAGTGGTTATTACTCTAAACTTTAGACTATCTAAGGTTTACTACATCAGTCATACATTAAGATGGACACATTGATATAATGTCGGTAGAGAGTTGCTTGGTCCAGGAAATGTTGGACATCCTTCAAGTTGCTGGATGTAACATCTCTAGTCACATGGAAGACCAAACATGGCTGATGCTGGTGTGCTGAATGAAAACACCCATTCCTACCTTCTTCTCCTTCACCACTTCCTCCTCCTCTTCTTCCTCACTTTCTTCTTCTGATTCTGACTCCTTCTTGTCTACAGAATGGGCAAAAGTTGTATTAACACAAGTTGCAAGACACAAATCACAGGAAAAAACATCAAAACGTTTATGGTGCTACGTCTTCACAATAAGAGAAGTGGTTAGCTGCATAACATATGTATTACAGTTTCCAAAATCTGAAATACAAGTATTTGCAGAAACACCTATTTTTGTATTGTCCTTATCCACCCTGCCCACTCACCCATCTTGTCCTTATGTGCCTTGCACATCCACCCATCTTGTCCTTATCCACCCTGCCCACCCACCCATCTTGTCCTTATCCACCCTGCCCACCCACCCATCTTGTCCTCATAAACCCTGCCCACCCATCCAATCTTGTCCTTATCCACCCTGCCCACCCACCCATCTTGTCCCCATACCCACCCCCACCCACCCAACCCTGCCCACCAACCCATCTTGTCCCCATAAACCCTGCCCACCCACCCATCTTGTCCCCATAAACCCTGCCCACTCACCCATCTGGCCATGCCACTTCCCATCCAACCCATACTGTCCTTCCCTCCCCATTACACCCATCTTGTCCTGTCCATCCCACCCCATTACACCCATCTTGTCCTGTCATCTTGTCCCGTCCCACCCCATTACACCCATCTTGTGCTGTCCATCCCACCAAGCTCCAGCTGCTCTCACCATCTATCTTGATGCCAGGAAGCATGCTCTTCTGCAGTAGATTTGCCTGGTTTTTCAAGTTGGGCAGTGTCGCATGGCCGTTGAGCACCGGTAGTGTGCGGTTGTTGCCTAGCGATGGCAGCGTCCGGTTCAGTGACATATTGGGACTCGGCTGTACAAACAGGTGTAGGTGAGGTGAAATTACAAAAAAAACCCACATTCTTCTCAAGAAAACAACTTGCCGATTATCAGTATCTTCACATGGTTAGAAAATCTAAATTAAGTTAGAAAACTGGGACTACAAAATCCTTACAAGCATTCAGAAGTGTTTACTGATTGATCGGGGGTAGTTATTGGTGTTCAGAAATGACTGGCAACCAACAAGGATTTTTCTAGAAATGTAAAAGTACCTCAAGTGCCTTTGGCTAGCAAACTGAGAATACATTGCAATACTGCCCAAAACTGTATGTCACAAATTCTGAGAAATTCAGGTCCAGATAAACTCCTGATGAGAGGAAACAAATCCACTGGGCCTCACTTCCCCACCTTTTTCCTGCAATAAAAGGCCGGCCCAAGTGACTTACCATGGTCTGCCTCCTTCGATCCCTCGCTGACACGCTATTGTTGAGGTCGAGTCCCTTTAATGTGTGATTCAATGTTCGTGCTGCTTCCTCAATCTCCACTTCGATGTCAGCGTCTTTGTCCTGTATCCGTTTCCGTGCCTTCACAATCATGTGACAGCCTCCACACGACACCTGCAATGGGTGAGTGAGTGAGTTTAGTTTTATGCCCCTTTCAGCACTATTCCAGCAATATCACGGAGGGGGACACCAGAAATGGTTGTCACACATTGTAACCATGTGGGGCATCGAACCCGGGTCTTCAGTGTGACAAGTGAACAATTTAACCACTCCTAAATGACCTTTCATCCTTTCAGAGACACAACATGCTGGCTGCACTGATTAACGGTGAGATAAAGTCTAATGTCATGTACCACTTACAAGTTACATAGTTTGTGACAGTGCTTCTACTTGTTTTATAGTAATTTCCAGCTTAGAAGCCACAGTCAAACAGGGATAATACACTCAGACAAATAACAATCAGTGCTTGTGTTCTTATTTTCCATTTCTGGTGTAACCTGCCATGACATTGCCAAAAAATTGCTAAAAGCAGTGTAAAACTAAACTCACTCACTGCTGTTTACTTATCAAATTACATAAATTAGAATATTTAGTACATTAGTTAATATACCTATCACGATGTAAATAAATTATTGACTTACCATTTGCACCTTAAACTTTGTAAATCGATCTACCCTATGAGGTTTGAACTGATTTGAGAAACTCTCCTGTCCGAGCCCCAACTTTCCGTGTCGACCATCGCCACATGTATATAGCTGACTGCCCTCTGGAATGTGATAACAAAATATCTTCAGACCTGTTTCCACAAGACATAAAACGACATAAAACACATCAAAGACTCTCTAAACTTAAAGTTGACAGATGTTTGTCTTCTGCAAATTTTCACTCCCTTGAAGTTAAAAACTGTAGAAGCAAAAGTTGCTTATGTTTTCTTAGACATTTATAGACAACATTCCAGACAAGTTACATTATCTTACCTCACACATAAATGTCGCTTCTGATTGGCTGAGCGCTCTTCTATTATTTTCAATGTACCCCGCTTACAAGCGAGTAACATTTCAATTTACCCCGCCGTCAATGGCAACTCATTTAGTACTTTGTAGTAGTAAATCTTTATCTCGAATAACATTGAATCACGTATGATGTACGGAAATTACAGATGTTTTGCGAATGCAAATCGATGGAAGGGAGATAACTATAAATCTGTTTTTCTTGTCAGCAAAATCTAGCGATGGCTACAAAAAGATTTATACCCGTGCTTCAAACAATTCAAAATTAACATTAAGGTGTTCGGTAAGATAAATCGTTGTTCACTGGTCCTCAGGGCCCATGGGTTGATGTGGTTCTCGATGTTTGTTTATGTTACGCTCGCCCTTCAGGCTCAGGGAACATAAACAAACATCGAGGGTACATCAACCCATGCCCCCCTCGTGACCAGTGAACAACTTATAATGTTTTAGTGAAATACCAAGTAAGAATCTTTGCCTTCTCCAACTGCTAATCTAACAGTCAAGCAAGAACCTCTGCTCTCTCCACAGACAAAACTCCCATTCTAACAGTACAGATACCTGAGACAATAGCTGTGATGTTTTCCCCACAGGCTATATGTGTGGCCTTGAACTCTAGTTTCAACAGGTGTGGCACGGCAGTCTGTAGAACCATAGTGCCATGCCCCAGCTGGCCGTTAGCTCCCTCCCCAAACGTATACACTGACCCACTCTCTGAAAACAGGAACATAGATGCAGACTGATTTACATCTAAGAATAGTGAATATATTATATTGGGATAATTCAGCAGCATAATTTTAACATTATTATAGTCTGTCTGCAGTGAAAATGTACCGATGTAATTCACTCTAAACAAAAAAGTAAATCGAATAAAGTGAAATTAATTTTACCTTGCCAATTGAACATTTAAATCTCAGAATTTTATTCAACTTAGGATAAAAGTTGTTTAACAAACTATCATAGTTTCAAATCGCTATTATTGGTTCGTATTACAAGGGGGTATGTACTTTAAATGAAACACCGAGAACAAGTAGGGTTGGTCTAAGTTAACGCTCATCACGTACCACACGTGCATTTGTTTCACTGTTCCATCTACTGCCCTTACCCCCTTATAATACAAACCCATAATAGCGATTTGAATCTATGATCGTTTGTTAAATAACTTTTACCCTAAGTTGAATAAAAATATGAGATTTAAATGTTCATTTGGCAAGGTAAACTTATGAGGATTCGCAATCTTAATTTCACTTAATTTGATTTACTTTTGTGTTTAAAGTGATATTCATCGTTACGTTTTCACTGCAAACAGACTATAGTATACAGTACTTCAGATCAGTCTCACATTTCAAAATCTGACAAGAAATAATCCCTATCATTCAGTTAAGGGACCGCTCATAATTTATGGCTAGGGGGTTGATATTGATGATGATTTTAAGGGTGGGTGGGGGTGGGGTGTCACCCATTTTTCTTCTGAGGGAGGTGGGGTGGGGTCAATAATTTTGTACTTGTACAGGGGGTGTCACTTATATTGTACATGGCATGCAGGGGGTCACTTGTACATAAATTTTATGGGGAAAGGGACATTCACATTGTATCATTATAACACAGAGACAGACAGACAGACAGACAGACCCACCCACCCACGACGCATACGACCACGACGCGACGCACGACAATAACACACACACACACACACACACCATATATTATGAACGGTCCCTAAATATGCTTTGATTAATCTAAATGGAAAAAACAACCTAGCTGAATTCCAGTGATATCCATCCACCCATATATTATTACAATATATCCAAGGATATTACAAGTGAATTTATTAAATGTAACAAAGATACATATCTGTTCATATATACTGCATAATCACGATAATGCCAAACTGTCTGGTGACAATGACAACATAACAACAGACCTGTGAGCACCACTGTGTGTGACCCCCCACAGGCCACCCACTTGACTTTTTCTGTGATGGAAGACACGTGTTGAGGGGTGGCGTATTCGGCCGGGTTGTCCCCCAGGCCAAGTTTGCCATTCTCCGTCTCACCGAATGTGTACAAGTCACCACTCTCTGGTAACAGAAGCATTATGATAGAGACAACCTTGCCAATCCATGATTTCATGCACTACCTGGGAGATGCTGAATGCAAGTACCTGTACACACAAAACTGTAATTATCTTCAGGTCAAAAAAGCATACCTATAAAACTGAAATTGCCAATACAGAATCTTCATATTTCTTTCATTTCTTATATACTAAGTAAATTTGTTTTTGAACATTATATTACTATCACAAGAGGTTTCTCATTAGATGTTAATTTAGAAAGCCACAATAACTCCGTGCGCCTAGTGGCAGCAAGAGTTGTATACTCTCCAGGGAGTTGAGATTGATAATACATCGATGTGCCGTTGAGATTGATATCCAATGATCGAGGGAAAATACCAGCATGAAGATCTTTAAGCATGCACCAGTTCCGTGATGCTGATGGTGGATATATGCGCTTATATAAATATCCTATAATAATAATAATAATAATAATAATTTCTGTCCTTTTTAATAAATCACATAGCATACGAGTACAGCAAACTGAAGCAAAACATTCACATCTCCATTATAAAACACATAATATTGAAATTCATAGAACTAATATTAAACAAAAAAGCAAATCTGATGCTCATATTATCTAAGCACATGATAAAAGTGCCACAAACAACTAGAATAGTATATTTTGCCAGGTTCACAATAAGCACTGCACGGACAAGAATATGAGTGGACAATCATGGTCTCACCTGTGACAAGAGCTGTATGGTAGTAGCCACATGATATACACACAACATTCTCCTCAAATGGAAGCTCCTTGGGGGTGGGGACCTCTGTGTCGTGACCCAGGCCCAGCTGTCCCTCACTCCCACCGCCCCACACAAACACCCGACCATCCTCTGAAACACACACAATTCACTACACTGTTCAAAATGCCACATACACACGTTTCTTGTTTCCCATCGACAATGACCTTTTGAATTTTCTTGATCCTACAGTTTGCGTTATTTTTAGTCCTAAATTCCAGTTCCGTATTTAAAACCTTTTGTGTTTCTGCAGTTTTCCTTTGTGATGAACCCATCATGATGAGAATTAATGGTAATGACTAATTCAAACAAGGCCACATAAACCTACTCTCCTTATGTTTATACTTTTGCTTTTCATAACTAGCAAAATGTGAAAGATTGATTTAGCTTCTACGTCTTCCCAAATTCTACCTTCCCCTTTTTTCACAATGTGCTTGGGAACACTAACACTTTTACATTTGACCAAAGTTATAATGAAGTAAATGGATATTGTGATCAGCAATGATACTGTACTACTTTAAAAGTACCTACAGATTTAAAATGTACAATTTTCAGTATAAAGAAGCATCCCAAGCTGTCAAACATCTAATAGTTCTTGTCAAATATGCTAAGTTATGAAGGTGATACACTGTGTGTAAACATCAGTAAATATATATAGTATGCCAGTGGACTGTCTGTAAGTCCATGGAATGGCTGAAAAAGAAAAAGCACACAGAAAATAATTACATAATGGAAATGAGAAACCAAAACATATTTGAGAAAACAGCTATAATAATCCAATGGAAACATTCATGTGGTGATGATCTCACATGACCCATATGGATGTGTATGTGGTCTGTGTGTGGAATGATAACAGGAAACACTCAGTCCACAGATGCATGTGTGTACTCATCCTAGCAACTCTTACCCATGTTAGGAGCGGTGGGGTAGCCTAGTGGTTAAAGCGTTGGCTCGTCAAGCCAAAGTCCCAGGGTTCAATATCCCCACATGAGTACAATGTGTGAAGCCCATTTCTGGTGTCCCCCGCCGTGATGTTGCTGGAATATTGCTAAAAGCGGCGTAAAACCAAACTCAGTCAGTCAGTCTTACCCATGTTAATCCCTGTGGGGTAAATGATGACGTACACAGTATCGTCCCCACCTACCTGTGAGTGCCACGGAGTGCTCCACACCTGCCCCCAGCATACAGTACACGGCACAGCATCTAGAGAGTCTATATGGCTGGGTGTAATGATGGCGTACACAGTATCGTCCCCCACCTACCTGTGAGTGCCACGGAGTGCTCCACACCTGCCCCCAGCATACAGTACCGCACGGCATCTAGAGAGTCTATATGGCTGGGTGTAATGATGTGACACAGCATACAGTATCACACCCCCCCACCTACCTGTGAGTGCTATATGGAGTGCTCCACACCTGCCCCCAGCATACAGTATGGCACGGCATCTAGAGAGTCTATATGGCTGGGTGTAATGATGGCGTACACAGTATCGTCCCCCACCTACCTGTGAGTGCCACGGAGTGCTCCACACCTGCCCCCAGCATACAGTATGGCACGGCATCTAGAGAGTCTATATGGCTGGGTGTAATGATGGCATACACAGTATCGTCCCCCACCTACCTGTGAGTGCCACGGAGTGCTCCACACCTGCCCCCAGCATACAGTATGGCACGGCATCTAGAGAGTCTATATGGCTGGGTGTACTGGCGTCGTTTATCCCCTCTATACCCAGCTGACCCTCACCATTAGCACCAAAGGAAAATAGTTTACCAGACTCTGAAAAAGTACGAGTTTTTAGAAACATCTTAAAGCCTTGAATAACATATGTAATTAAGCATAATGAACAACAATACATTGTTTCTATATTCAACCTCACCAAAACAACTTGGTACCATGAAAACCTGTCATTCAAAATGGGGATTAATTACCAATTCTTGCTGAAGATTCTTGTGATTTTACAAGAAAGTGTGGCTTGCATTATAGAAATATAATGTAACACAATGTGCACACTTTAATTTCACTTAGTTGATCTATGCAAAGTAAGCACTTTGCTATTAACATTAATAACTCCAGTAACACAAAATACCCTATCATACCCCATGGTCTGGTTAGCCAATCAGATACCCTCCAATACTAAATGGTGTGGCTTGCCAATTAAATACCCTCCAATACTACATGGCTTGGTTAGCCAATCAGATACCCTCCAATACTAAATGGTGTGGCTTGCCAATTAAATACCCTCCAATACTACATGGCTTGGTTAGCCAATCAGATACCCTCCAATACTAAATGGTGTGGCTTGCCAATTAAATACCCTCAAACTACATGGCCTCTCCCAATACTACATACATGGCTTGGTTAGCCAATCAGATACCCTCCAATACTAAATTATCAGACTTGTTGATCAACAGCAAAGTTTGCCCAGCCATAAAAATATAATTTGACAAAATCAAAATCCTCTAAACCAGACATCAGGACCTCACTGAAAGAAAACTCTCAGAAGGAGAAGCTAAAGAAATCAGTCAACATAACCCTTTGATCAAATGGGTATTACATCTTGTCTGCCTATGAAGATCTAATGAAGCAACTGGCCAATTTCAATCTGTAACCAGTCAGTTGGCACATTTTATTCCTTATAATCCTTATCCTTGCATGTTCTGTACATTTGGCTTCAGAACCTGCGTCCACGACACCAAAAGGCATCCATAGTGTAAACCTACCTGTTGCAATTACTGAATGATTCCGTCCACATGCCACTAGTTTCAACTTTTCGGTTTTTATAGCTGTAACACAAAGATGGATTCATTTCAGTATATAATTAAATGAATTCATATTTTTAAAGCCATTTAATTACCAAAAAAGGAATCATACAACATCTCAGAGACTGAAATGAACCATTTTCAAGATCCACTGAGATAGCTTAATATTACCATGGCAACATGTATGTTGCTTTTAAATAAGCGACCTTTCTCCTAAAAAATCTCAAAGTTTGGAAATTAATTTTCAATTTCCCATTTCAGACAATGACAACAATCAACTTACATTTAATACAGCTAGGTTTGGTGGCACTCCTAACTTCAAGCAGGCCCAGCTGGCCCCAGTTGTTGGACCCAAACATAAAGATACGACCACTACCTGCAAGAACAAGAAAAGGTGTTTGCTCGTGTTAACAATGTCTTTTCATCTGTCTTGAATTGAATTTCAGTCAGATGAAGGATTCTGGCACATCTATGGGAGGTAATTATCTACAACAAATTGCAGCACCAGAGACCTGTAGGCCAACTTGTGCTGACATGACTGATGATAGTTGATGGTGAGTCAAAAACAACCAACAGTTGGTTAACTGGAATAATTTCATCATGACGATACTGGGGCGCAATGGATCCAGTATGACACGAATGTGATACACATCACAAATATTGGGTAATAATCATGAATATTCGGTTATGAATTCAATAGTGAGTGAGTTTGATTTTACGCCACTTTTAGCAATATTCCAGCAATATCACGGACGGGGGACACCAGAAATGGGCTTCACACATTTTACCCATGAGGGGAATCAGACCCTGGGCCTTCAGCTTTACCCAATAGGCTACCCCACAGCTTTGAATTCAATAGCTAGTCAGCAGCTGATGGCATATTTAGTGAAACTGACATATTGACATGCTTTGACCATGTTGACAGTGTTTGTTTATCATAACAATGACCAGTGACCGCAGAGCACCTGAAAACCTCTCACAGGATCTCTGTATAGGTACAATACTGATTGGGCAGCATTCATGGTACATATGTTAACAGTGTCAGGTGTAACAGGTCCAATACAGGTAAGCTGTATTCATGGTACATACGTTAGAACACATCTAACAGTGTCAGGTGTAACAGGTCCAATACAGGTAAGCTGTATTCATGGTACATACGTTAGAACACATCTAACAGTGTCAGGTGTAACAGGTCCAATATAAGTAAGCTGTATTCATGGTACATGCGTTAGAACACATCTAACAGTGTCAGGTGTAACAGGTCCAATACAGGTAAGCTGTATTTATGGTACATCGTTAGAACACATCTAACAGTGTCAGGTGTAACAGGTCCAATACAGGTAAGCTGTATTCATGGTACATACGTTAGAACACATCTAACAGTGTCAGGTGTAACAGGTCCAATACAGGTAAGCTGTATTCATGGTACATACGTTAGAACACATCTAACAGTGTCAGGTGTAACAGGTCCAATACAGGTAAGCTGTATTTATGGTACATACGTTAGAACACATCTAACAGTGTCAGGTGTAACAGGTCCAATACAGGTAAGCTGTATTTATGGTATATCGTTAGAACACATCTAACAGTGTCGGGTGTAACAGGTCCAATACAGGTAGGCTGTATTCATGGTACATACGTTAGAACACATCTAACAGTGTCGGGTGTAACAGGTCCAATACAGGTAAGCTGTATTCATGGTACATGTACATACGTTAGAACACATCTAACAGTGTCAGGTGTAACAGGTCCAATACAGGTAAGCTGTATTCATGGTACATACGTTAGAACACATCTAACAGTGTCAGGTGTAACAGGTCCAATACAGGTAAGCTGTATTCATGGTACATACATTAGAACACATCTAACAGTGTCAGGTGTAACAGGTCCAATACAGGTAAGCTGTATTCATGGTACATACATTAGAACACATCTAACAGTGTCAGGTGTAACAGGTCCAATACAGGTAAGCTGTATTCATGGTACATACGTTAGAACACGTCTAACAGTGTCGGTGTAACAGGTCCAATACAGGTAAGCTGGTTCAATGTTTAACCATTCAAGGTCATGTCAGCGATACTGAAACATAAGTTGTTACATATATCTTACTTGTAATAAGGGCTGTGTGTTCATCTCCGCATTCAATCTGTAAAACTTTGTCATTTTTAACCCAAAACTTGTTGGGTACATTATCTGCAAAGAAACTCTTCCCAAATGTGAAAATTGCCCCAGTTTCTGAAAACAGAAAATAATAATGAATCTAGTTTAAAAACTGTAACATCTGTATAAACAATCATTGTTGACATCATTCAATATAGAAAACAACTACATATATATCATGTTTATGTCTCGAATCTTGTGTAGCAGAAACAGTGTAAATGTAACATGTGCCCTTACTGGATTCAATTATTATAAAGGAACTGTTTCGTTTGAACATTACTAGTATTCGTAACTATGGCTTTGTACTCGCAAATAAATTGTATTGCAATCTATTGCCATTCAGGTACCCGTATTGCGATATGAATTGCGATATATTGGGAGCTTTAGTGTTTGACAGTGAGTGACACTAATTGTGCATGTCAATCCTATTTATACATTATAAGTTCTTAAACATATATGTTATGGTTCTGATAACAGCAATCTCAAAATTAGGCTGCATAGTCATGGATTCCATTTTCTATTTTATACAATTTATAGTATTACAGTATGCAGTTTTGTTGAATAACGAAGGAAAACATCTGTTGTGAATGAAAGTATGTGTAGATTTAATTTAAACCACAAAGATAATCACAAAAACTTTCATATATGTTCTTTACCCAATATACCAGTCCTCAGGAAACATATTGCAATATGTATTGTTTGAAAAGCCTATTGCGACATACTGGTAATACCGTGCAGTCGTATTCGTAACTTGGGGCACAGATACAAAGCATCTTAAGAACATGTAGAATGTGCTCTTCACTAAACACTTATTTCTGCCATAATACTGTATCTTGGGGCCATATTTAGCAGCTGGAATGAAATATCACCCAAAATAGCTACTTAACAAAGGTTAATCTAAAATTAGGTAATACTTGCAATGAATAGGACTCAAATATGGATACCATGGTGACCATGTTAAAATCTGATTTAAACGTCTTGAATAACTACAGATGTCATCATTGGTTGAAACAGGTAAGTGAAATTTCACGTACATTGGATCAGTGGTTTCTGTTTATATCCAACTGTAGACAACTGATGATAGATATACAAACAGGTCTTCAAATAACCTATCTTGACCTTCAGTCTGAAGTACTAAAATTCAAATATTAGTTTCGGATAATATATCAATCATGTCAAAGATTCTTAAATCTCAGTTGGTAGTTATGCAGCACAAATATTTTGAAAAGAACTAATTTTCTGGACTAATGTACAGAAAATATTAACCTCCCCTGTATATATTTCATATGTTTTGATGACTGTCCCAATATTATACAATAAATATTTATCATCCTCCTTTAAAAGACAAAATGCATTAATAATATTCTATTATACATTTTCATGTTCATGACCCTACCAACATATGTATATTATGTTGTATGATCCTTTGCTAGACACCCTCATAGTTCAAATCGTGTCATGTGTTGAAGCACACCCATATTCCCACTGACAACTACCTCATCAATGACTGATGAGCGGCCCCCAAATACGCATCAAGTGAATATACTGGGACGAAGCGCGCCTATAATCACTCCTTTGCGTTTGAATTTTGGAACATGCAATAACGATACGCTATTTAATGCACACATCGCATTTCATTTAATTTCGAATTTAGCATTAACTTCATTCCAGTGTCAAAGATGCCGAGGTAGAAGTGATGAATGAGTGGTATCTACAGCAACTGGTGTTTAACGAGTGACTGTCATCTGCAAGTATGGTCATGTATTTGCATTCATTTCCATGTTCGTTGTCTTGAAATAATCTCCATGACATTTGCTTGTCTTTTGTTCATAGAAGCGGGATGGTTATTCTCCAATTATGAGAACAAAATTATACACCCTGCTCAGAAATCAAAGACAATAGCTAGATTACACACTGTTATTACACACCGAGATCATCACAAACACATTTTCTGACTTTTGACAGCACTTTCGCGCTTAGTCATTTCTGCATTATTTGTACGCTCGTTCACCGATATAAACACACAGTCTATTTGACAAGTGTATCAGTACACATTCCCACAATGTTTAAGTTGAAAATGACCAACCTAACACACATAAACACCAGTAGTGTAGCCTACCTGGGATATCCGAGTCGTCAGTCGACGCCATGTTCGTAACCTAAACAACTTCCAGAAATGCCCGGATGAAGCACCTGCAACTTCCGTTCAAACCACGTGCGTTTGTTTACATCGGTCCGCGCAACTCAAAGCGCGTCTTATTCGGGACTGCGTACATTTTTAACATGAGTCAAATAATGATCATAATAATAAGTTTTATCCAAAAGCATATTTAACCAATGTAAAAATCATGATTTCAGTAAATGCAATATATAACATATACATATATATTTATAGCATGACAAATCATAAAAAAAATCATGAACCTTCTTCAAAGGCCTTTGTGAAATTTGTGAAAGCACAAACACTTCAGATTCAGATCAATTCCTTTTCGGAGTGGTTATGGCCATTTTTAATGCATTACCACAATCTGTAGCTGGTAACGAGAAAACAAGTTGTTTATTGATATTTGGATCGATTGTCTCCAGCCTGGTAACGAGCTGCGTTAGAAACACACACACGCAAACACCAAAACATACACCTTAATGAATGAAGCCGTGTGTACCTCAAGGTTGTGAATGTATGGTTTGTTCTCATGGGATTTTTTGGGAAGAATCTATTGTTCTCAGCTGTATATATAAAAACAACTATCTGTTCAAACAATCTATTTTCACTATGAAAACTCATATAAATGGCGTTTCCGGGGTATTTTTCACAAACGTTAATTATACATGTTTTCACCACTGCCTAACTATTTATTTTTAGCATATTTGTGAAGGTGTTTATTTTAAAAATCTAACGAGAAACAGAATCAATACCATATATATGTCTGTGTGTCTTCAGACGACGTAACATGGCCTTTTCATGGCTTTACTGATGACATTTCAGTTTCTTGTCTTGTCGATATTTAAAGACTGTTCTGACGCCTTTTCAGTGCTATTATTCTGACGATTATCCATGGCTTTTTGTTTCAGAAATATTTCCAACGTCGTTTTATGTCTACGTCTGTTTAAACGACGTATCCAGGCACGTTCTGAAGACATTTTAGGACAGATGTGTTAAAGGTAATACAAATTTGCATTGAATACCACTGCAAGTCTTTTTCAATAGCCTTTTTATTCTGTGAACGGGATTTGACCAAATTGGAGTACAGACGGAGACACCCCACATTGTTTATCCATTGTAGTCTTATCCCCCGATTCAATATTGTGCAAAATAGAATGGCGATATAGTTCACTTAACAACCAGTACTATCCACAGTATCGGGGATGCTAGAAGCGGAAATGACGTGTGTAACATGTAATAGATCTATGGAAAAAGTTCTCAAGGGTAAGTAAGGCTGAGTCTAAAGTCGAGTAAATAGTGTGCCCGGTGGTTAAATCCCGACCGTGTCATAACGATAAACTTTACATGATGGTACTTGTTGTTTCCGTGCGTGGCGTTCGGGATTAAGGGTATTAACGATGACTGGTGGGCTTGAAGTCAGTATACTGAGTGAGGTTTTTATGTTAAACTAGGGCATGATATTTCAGTGGGCTAGCGATATAAAACCGACAAAAGTCCGGACTGGTACACGCATTTCCAGACACAAATATATGCCAGTCGCTGTGTAAGTGCAATAATCTTAATAGCAACGATAAACCACATTTCACCGCATCTCACGTCTTAAAGGTAAACAACTTCTTTGTTACACGTGGCATTATTTCTAATCAAGTTGTTTTTACATAATTTGTCCTTGTTCATCACAACTGACACTTTATAATTAATGTATATAATATGGTGTCTGATCACACGGAGTTCACATGAACCCATTAGCAGGTATATGTGGTCGAAATCTGTGATGTTGGTAGGTTTGGGCAGTGAAATGAAGCCCAAAATTCAAACCTTTCTTATTGCTTTGAAAGAGAGACCTTCCAAAGTCTGTTTTTAACATTACCCGGTGAGGGTTGTTTACGACTTGTATTGCTTCTTGTCGTTTGTGGCTTGTCGTTACGCCAGGGTGACAACTTATCGACTATTTTTTTCCGTAACAAGACACATGAACCAATATGTTTACAAAGGCCATTCTCAAACCGTGACGTCAAGGCGATAATTTCCAGACATTATGATCGTCTTTCCATGGAATCCTAACAGCACGTGAGTGAGATTCCACAGTTAATTACGTCTGGGATAATTGGAAACGTTTCGGGGCATCGTCAGCACGTCATCGATTTACATGTATATAGGTTCATCAGTGACGTATCCACGGATGTTTCACAGTTGTGTGTAAGATCTGGAGAGCATGGCAAAAGATCATCTTCAGGCCATGTATGGTTTGCAAGAACACGGGTGAGTGGGTTCATGGGCGGATCCAGGACTTTCGAGGGTGTGTGTGTGTGTGTGTGTCCCACGGGGTTCAAACACCCTGAACCCCCCACTGGCTCCGCCAACGCATCAATGTGGTCTTAAATCATTTTCATTGGATCCACCAATGGGGTTGGGTTTGAATCTAATGCTGCACCCTCACTGCAAGCACTTGAGTGAGTGAGTGAGTGAGTTAATATTTAACGTCACATTCGCATCGGCAATATTTCAGCCATATCGGCAAGCATGTGAACTTGATATGGGAGGTACACCACAGCGATGTTGGTCTTTAGGGTTTATGACCATGCAGTAGTAGTACGTGCTGGCACAACCAAGAACATGTGCTGGACAAGTATTTAGCACTCTCATGGGATTCTGGCGGGTCTAAACCTCGACAATGATGAGTGACGTAATAAACCGGAGTTCATGTAGGAAGTCAGATGTACTACGTTAGTCGTCTGTTGAAGGAAAAAACAAAACAAACAAAACCAACTTCTTTTAAATTTACTTAGAGACATGTTCATCAAATAACATGGTATCAGATCCATAACACACATTCTCCAGAGGCAAATACACTGTAACAACTAATGTCCTGTCTCTCAACAACAACAGCATAGCAGCATATCCAACAAACCACCCAGTTGTGCCCCACAAAGGGACGGCTATGTGTATCTCCTCTAATATGAAGAATTTGAAGCATTCTTTGGATTTTCTAAAGACACCAATAGAGACTTAAACGGGTCTAAATTGAGGTCTTTTTGTTATTTGTTCTACACATCAGATATTACAAATGTGGAATGCAATTTAAATAATGTCAGTGATTTTTATATTTCAATATAAGGTATTGTTACCATGTTTCACATAGGACAAAAAATATCTTGAAAGTGATATTACACCCCAATAATAACAAGATGCACAAAGCAGCAACAAACAGAATCTTGAGTATGTATCTGTCACATGCAAGACCCTTATAAATTAAATAGACATTTTCACCCACTAATTAAAATAGTCTATATTACCTACAGTTGACAACTCATGACAACCTTCTTCCTAGTATACATTATTGCTTCATGTGAATCACGTCCATTGACAATTAATATCTCAGAGTCTGTGTAAATCAGAAGAAACATTTAGCAACATACCTCCAGCCTATCAGTTTTAATGAACATAAACAACTTACTGGCCATTCAACGTGGCTGGTGTAAAACACAACAGCTCCCTGTCACTGGGCATCTAACCCAAGTCAAAGGAGATGCGTGTCTGTGATCTCCATTTGTGATTGCTCACGTTTATTTATTTAAACATCTCCATACAAAACCTGTTTCCAACCAGATTCATGCATGAGGTGATGTGTAGCACTGAATCTGATCAACATTGTGACTAGATCGTAACAAGTTCAGATTCAAAAAACATGTTGGAATAAAACAACAATGACTATATAACATAAAACAAGTCCTTTGTGGAAAGATTTATGCCCATGTCTTTCTCTATAGATAGTTGGGTATTCCACCCCAAGAAAAGCAGTTAAAGATCACACGAAACTGGTCCATAATTTACAAAGAGTTTTGGCACAAATGCTGGAAGTACTTTTGTATATTATGCATAGCAAAAATACATTTTTTTGTCCTTGGTTACACAAAGTACATGTTAAAATACAATATAATCTCGCATGTCACAACAGATAAAACAGATTTCACATGTAACAACAGATTAAGTTCAGAACAATGTCCCAAAGCATCTGAAGCTTGAGGCAGAGATGACTACCTGTGACATTATGGTGTGGACATATAGGTATATATATATCAGTAGGATAGTCCCATTTGTAAGTTACGAATCTGGAAGGCCAATACTTTTAATGTCAAGAGAAAATGTAACAAGCAGCAAATGTGTGACCTGAGACAAGTTTTTTTATCATACTTCTGTTCATCCTTTCCCGATGTCCTGGGCCGCCATATAGCTGGAATATTGCTGAGTGTGGCGTAAAACTAAACTCACTCACTCACTCCCCATGTCCTGGAACATCATCTGCAGACATTCTTTTTCAAATGGAGGAAAAACACATCCTGAAAACCTCAGCCCTTTTCACAATTTCAGTCTAAGTATTTAGTCTTGTCATAATTCCAATAAAATCATGCAACTGTTGAAAGTTTGGACCCTAGCAGTGATGTCAACTCCTTCATCACAGCAAACTTTGACAACAAACACTGAGACCTTTACAACACCTGGAGAAATCAGCAACATACAGCATTATAAAATAAAACAATTACTGGGATTTAGATTTCCAGATTCCAGCTGTCAACAAAAATAGCATCCTCGATAATCTCCAGGGAATAGATCCTATAAATCTCCACTAGTACCCTGGAAGCATCAACGGTTCGGCCCAATAATTCTATTACCTCCCTTTGATGGCGTTTTATCCAATCAGGTGTCTACACTGGGAAGTTAAGCGTACCAATCACAAGGCTTCACAAGGTGTCAGAGCTGCTATCTTTGTTGACACTGGCTAGCTCAGTTGTAGCGGCTTATCTTATTGGCTACTGTGAGAAGGTGGACCCAGCAAAGGGATGTAATGAAATTATCGGGACGAGCTGAAGATGCATCCAGGGTACTTTTTGGAACGTATACCCTGGGGTGGAGTGTCACTCTCCTCAGATCAACTTGTACCTGGCAGGGGAAAGGGTGTAGTCTTGAGTGAATAAGTGAGTGAGTTTAGTTTTACGCCGCTTTTAGCAATATTCCAGCAATATCATGGTGGAGGACACCAGAAATGGGCTTTACACATTGTGACCATGTGGGGAATTGAACTGATGTCTTTGGCGTCTTGTAGTAGATCTGTGTTGTATTGGGGCATGATACTCTTAGTATGAACTTGGGCCTTGGCGTGGAAGGGGTGTAATCCTGTAGTAGATTTGTGTTGTGTTGGGGCATCACTCTCCTCGTATGAACTTGGGCCTAGGAATGGAGGGGGTGTAGTCTTGTAGTAGATGTCGTGTTGTATTGGGGCATCACTCTCCTCGTATGAACTTGGGCCTTGGCGTGGAAGGGGTGTAGTCCTGTAGTAGATGTCATGTTCTATTGGGGCGTCACTCTCCTCGTATGAACTTGGGCCTTGGCGTGGAAGGGGTGTAGTCCTGTAGTAGATTTGTGTTGTATCATGGTGTCACTCTCCTCGTATGAACTTGGGCCTTGGCGTGGAAGGGGTGTAGTCCTGTAGTAGATTTGTGTTGTATCATGGTGTCACTCTCCTCGTATGAACTTGGGCCTTGGCGTAGAAGGGGTGTAGTCCTGTAGTAGAAGTTGTGTATCACTCTCCCTGCATGAACTAGTAGAGGGAGTGTAGTCCTGTAGTAGATGTTGTGTTGTGTTGGGCATCACTCTCCTCATTATGAACTTGGGCCTGGGCGTGGAGGGGTGTAGTCCTGTAGTAGATGTTGTGTTGTGTTGGGCATCACTCTCCTCGTATGAACTTGGGCCTGGGAGTGGAGGGTGTAGTCCTGTAGTAGATGTCGTGTTGTGTTGGGCATCACTCTCCTCGTATGAACTTGGGCCTGGGAGTGGAGGGGAGTGTAGTCCTGTAGTAGATGTTGTGTTGTGTTGGGCATCACTCTCCTCGTATGAACTTGGGCCTGGGAGTGGAGGGGGTGTAGTCCTGTAGTAGATGTTGTGTTGTGTTGGGCATCACTCTCCTCGTATGAACTTGGGCCTGGGAGTGGAGGGGTGTAGTCCTGTAGGAGATGTTGTGTTGTGTTGGGCATCACTCTCCTCCTGTATGAACTTGGGCCTGGGAGTGGAGGGAGTGTAGTCCTGTAGTAGATGTCGTGTTGTGTTGGGCATCACTCTCCTCGTATGAACTTGGGCCTGGGAGTGGAGGGGGTGTAGTCCTGTAGGAGATGTTGTGTTGTGTTGGGCATCACTCTCCTCGTATGAACTTGGGCCTTGGAGTGGAGGGAGTGTAGTCCTGTAGTAGATGTCGTGTTGTGTTGGGCATCACTCTCCTCGTATGAACTTGGGCCTGGGAGTGGAGGGGTGTAGTCCTGTAGTAGATGTTGTGTTGTGTTGGGCATCACTCTCCTCGTATGAACTTGGGCCTGGGAGGGGTGTAGTCCTGTAGTGGTGTTGGGCATCACTCTCCCTCGTATGAACTTGGGCCTGGGAGTGGAGGGAGTGTAGTCCTGTAGTAGATGTCGTGTTGTATCATGGTGTCACTCTCCTCGTATGAACTTGGGCCTGGGAGTGGAGGGAGTGTAGTCCTGTAGTAGATGTAACATGACAGCCTGGAAACAAATGGCAGCAGGATTACACTATGGTACTGGCATGAAAAACATTCTGAATATAATAAGACCTTTTTCAGTTAAGGATATTTGAAAGCGTTGGCTCAATTATTGTATTCAGACTTATTCCAAAGGTGGCTAAGTAGATACATTTGGACCAGGCTATCCAGTGACTGAAAGCGTGAACAGTCCATGCCATCAAACCATCAGTAGGCTGGTGGGAATCCTTTCTATTCCTTTCCTAATCTATTTTCAAACTGCTAACAAGTAAACTCCTTCATCCCTTCAAAGCCATATCTCATAATGCAGCTCACCATGACAGTCCACTTCCTGTTTTCTGCTGCCTGCCACACGAGGGAATTGGGGTCGTAGAAGATGTCATCATCCACTTCCTCCTGTTTGCGAGGCAGGCAGTGGAGGAACACCCAGTTGGCACCAGCCTCCTTCAGCATCTGCAGCAGAACATTGCAACATCATCTACAATGTACTCTGTTTCTAGTTAATTTTCCATCTAAATATATTACTTAAAAATTATCCAACACATATTCCAGTATCTTAATGTCATACATTGAGAGTTAAACTAGCATCTTATGGTGATTTTTGAATATTACTTCCAATACTGTGGTACATATGTCAGGAGACAAATACTGTCAGACAGACTTCAATCAAATTTGAGCCTTGTCCCACTAACCTTGCGAGTGATCTGGTAGCCAGCAAAGTCTTTGAGGCGTTTCTGCTTCTCCTCCTCCTGACCCATGCTGACCCAGGTATCTGTGACGACCACATCAGCACGGTACACAGCTTCCAGGGGGTCCGTGGTCATGTTGAAGTCACTCTTACGCTGCAGCATGACAGGAAATAATCCACATAACACCAGCACGACAAGGAATGGTTCACATGACACAGCTAAAGGATGGACAATGGTTTACATAATGCTGACATCACTGTCAGAGCGATACTGAAAACATAGTAAGAGTCCTGGGGTGCTTTCTTAGCCCTGGTAGTTATTCTATTCACCATGACACCTAGACTGACATGACACCTAAATATATGGTCATGTGTCTATATCCAAGGGATTAGTATGGTTTTATGCTGATTTTCGCAATATTCCAGCAATATTATGTGGGAGGACACCACAAATTCGCTTCACATATTGCACTTATTTGGGGAATCAAACCCAGGTCTTCAGCATGATGAGCGAACACTTTAACCACTGGGCTACCCCACCGCCCCAATTCACTGACGAGTAAGCAGTAGACTTGTAAGCTCAGCAATCCAGCAGTGCCACATACCTTACCACACAACTTGATGGCATACTCAATTATTTTGGGGTCTGGTTCATAGCCCTGGAATAAACAAATAACAAGAACGTATGATTCATCCAATTCACTGAATGAATGCATTTCCATGTAGCACATGTCAGATTTTATCCACTAGCCTGAAAAATCCAGTATAGTCTAACTTTTTTCCCAGTATGTTTATTGAAATATACTGTATAAGTATACACTTACATTTTCCTAATATCATATCAAGGACAATTTGTTGCCAGAGAACTACAAAAAGCTACATAACTAAACAGTTTATTACCCGCAAAGGGCCTAAGGGATTTGTAATAATTACAACAGGGTTTAAATGTTAGTGTATGTGTAACAGTAATATCCACTGAGGTCAGGTCTCTCAGGTGAGTACATTTAGAACCTGGGTATTATGACACTGAAATGTTGACAACTTGTGTATGTTTGATAACAAAGTAGGATCCTTATGGCATTCTGACTTGAGAGTCATGACTTACAGAGTCCCTAATGTCCACTGAGAGGGAATGTGACAAAATGATTCATGAAAACAAGAACACATTACATTTACTATATTCTTTCCACAGGTTAGTCAAAATCGAATAATGGTGGGAATCATAGGACAGAGCTAATAAGGGAAAGGAAGCTGTTTTCCTACCTTTGGTGTAGCTATACTGAGGTCAATGCCAAGCTTGCTGCAACCGATCATGAGGGAGTGGGTGATGTTGTTGCCGTCGCCCACCCAAGCAATCTTCATTCCTCTCAGATAGCCAAAGTGTTCCTGTGGTTGGAGAAAACAATCATGGAGTCTCCAGTTAAGGCTGTTTGGTAGACGGAAATGCACATGTAAAGTGAGTAGGTGTCTGTAGTGGATGGAACACACACTAACATGTAAGGTGAGTAGGTGTCTGTAGGTGATGGAACACACACTTACATGTAAGGTGAGTAGGTGTCTGTAGGTGATGGAACACACACTTACATGTAAGGTGAGCAGGTGTCTGTAGGTGATGGAACACACACATGTAAGGTGAGCAGGTGTCTGTAGGTGATGGAACACACACTTACATGTAAGGTGAGTAGGTGTCTGTAGGTGATGGAACACACACTTACATGCAAGGTGAGTAGGTGTCTGTAGGTGATGGAACACACACTTACATGTAAGGTGAGTAGGTGTCTGTAGTGGATGGAACACACACTTACATGTAAGGTGAGTAGGTGTCTGTAGTGGATGGAACACACACTTACATGTAAAGTGAGTAGGGGTCTGTAGGTGATGGAACACACACTTACATGTAAGGTGAGTAGGTGTCTGTAGGTGATGGAACACACACTTACATGTAAGGTGAGTAGGTGTCTGTAGTGGATGGAACACACACTTACATGTAAGGTGAGTAGGTGACTGTAGGTGATGGAACACTTACATGTAAGGAGAGTAGGTGCCTGTAGGTGATGGAACACACACTTACATGTAAGGTGAGTAGGTGTCTGTAGGTGATGGAACACACACTTACATGTAAGGTGAGGAAATCTGCTAGTGTCTGGAGGGGATGGAACATATCCGAGAGTCCACTGATGACAGGAACTGAGGCCTCCATAGCCAAGTTGTCCAGATCCTCCTGTCCATACACCCGGGCCAGAATCAGATCTGACATTCCACTCATCACCCTGGCCGAATCCTTGATGGTCTCATTCACGCCAAGATGGATGTCATCAGGCCCAAGGAATGCTGCATGACCGCCCAACATGGCCATTCCTGCAAACAAGACAAGCAGACCTACCACAACATGGCCAGACCTGCAGGTGTAATGTTCCATAGAATAGGTAAACTGGTGAATCAAGAAATCAGTAGAATTATGTCGTTGCAGGACAAACACTTGCATTATCTGACCATACATCTGTACAATCATGAATATTCTGAAATCCTAAAATAGCCATATGACTTGAACATGGCAATAATTCATCGTAAACCTCCCCACCACCCACCCCTCCACAAGAAGAATGTTTACCCATTTCTGTAGAGAGGCGTGTCCGTGTGCTCCTCTTCTGGAAGATCATGGATACAGACTTGCCCAGTAGTGGCTGGATCCTCTAGAACAGGAACACCACTTGTACTGACATTCCTTGACAGCTTGTTATAAAATCACACATTTGGGTCTCTGCAGACATTATTAACTCTCCAGTACATTCCTAGGAGAGCGGAGACCAGTGCATCTTCCGTTACAGTTCTGCTATATTGACCTTACAGTCCAGTCCAGTCACCTCTGCTTACAGGTGACACCAGATATTTGTACACACAGTCTTCAAAACTGTACAAAGATGAAGTATTGCATTCAATACAGAATGTCTAAAAAGTAAATACCAAACTTCTTGTTATCCCTCTTAGCCATCAGGCTTCATGTCATATTTTTTTAGGGAGCAACATGGACCAATCTTCACTTGGAGAGCCCAAATCTTGATGAAATATTACTTGACAACTTGGGATTGAAACATTATTACCAAAAAAATCACATTCCAACATTTCACTTTTAATGTTAAGCCAAGCTCTGAAGATCACAATCCTAAAGGCGAGAACCAGTTGCGTGTATATTAAATAACTGCATTCATCACTTATTTTTTACAAGGTATTTGTGGTATAACTGCATTCAGCATTCAGCAATACTACAGCCATGTCACATCATCCTGTAAGTAATCAAGTCTGCACCACACAATCCAGTGACTGATATTACGAACAACCAATAATACAGTAACCATGCCGATACAATAATGACACAACCTCTGTCTATCTCCTGTGATCACATTTCAGTAAACCTACACCAAACCCTGGATCTATTCTTGTGGTTCTGGGTTTTTCCCATTACATGCCTTTGATATTCATTAACCAATGTGACATGCCATACTACTGGCTGCATTGGTTACTTCCAAAACATCTCAAATGTTTCACATTATTTCATATTGTTAATAGGGACTGATCCCAGTCTGGCTACCTCCTTGTCCTCTTTGATTCGCTTCTTCAGGTCTTTGGCTGTCCATATCAACTGTTTGATCTCCTCCGCCTGGAAGTCCTTCAGGGTCAGGAAATCTCGGCCGACTAAAGACTTCGGTCCTCTGAAACAAACAGCTAGATCATCTTGTGTGGCATATGACTATGTTCAGACAGTGTGATGTAGCAGGGTCAAGATGGTATACAAGCATTGACAGCCAAGAAGCAACAGGAAGTTGCTGGAGAAGCATCCATTCAGCTTTAAACACCTGATGACTGACCCTTGTCATACAATGTCATGCAGAGACTCTGTCCCGGCCAAATAGTGGACTTAGTATGGTTTCATGCTGTAGTTTAGCAATGTTCCAGAGTGAGTGAGTGAGTTAAAATTTAAAGTCACATCGGCAATATTTCAGCCATAGCGGGACTAAAACTAGTTCTAAATTCATAATGCATATTGTGCATTAACAAACATAACAGGAAAATTTGATAAATGACCCTAACCAATTATTTTTGATGATTGATCGGTTGTAATGAACCAATCATCAATTATAAGATTTTAACCAATTCCCAACACCGCTTCAGACTCAGTACTCTAAGACTCCACCACTGCAAAGATCTGTTTAGTTTGCACAATATTGCCATTGATGCTTATAATGTAAGTAAAACTCTTCATTTACATATGCCATTGTGACGGTGTAGCCTCTCCAACATTAAACCATAAGAACTATTATCAATGCACATTTATAATATTTATTAATTAATTATATTCATATATATAATCAATCATTAACTGAATATCGATTGCCTTGTCAAACCAATAACCATTATTTCGAATCTCTGAACTATATATAATGATCCTCTCATTCACTTCCACACTGTTATAACTCTCGGCTAAAATGGTCTCTTGTACTGTCATTGAAATAGAAGCCACCACTATCAGTGGAAACTAACGTGACAATTAACTGCTTCAGCAAATCAATTTCACGCCTGTCTGTGCCCAAGTTGACAAGTTCATCCAGTCCTCACATTGAGATGACCCATGTAGTCAGATAACACTGTGACCTCTTGTTGCAGAGCTGAACCGATGCCCTAAATGGTTGGAATGGGATAATATGGCTGAGAGACGGAATGGGGATTCTACAGTCAAGATACGGCCCCACATTTTTAGTGTAATTTACCATCTCGGCTCTCGGGCAGGGAGATATTACAGCTGTTTATAAACCTTGCTGTTAAAAGTAAATTTCATCTCTAAACTTTAGAATTAAAGTGAGAATGAAAAAAGAATTTGAAAGATGAGAATTTGAAGCCAAGAAAGAATTCCTCTATTGGGTGAATTATAACTATCATTATTTCGTTGGTATTTTTCTTCTGTCACACACTTTGGCTAGGTAGTCAAAGGCAAGTTTAGGCTAACATCTTGTTATATGGGCGCCGGGCAAAATTCACAGTGATGTCAACAGAGATACAACAGAATGTGCTACCATGTCAAAAGTAACATTTTTTTTTAAAAACCACCATCAACAACAACAGCACCTTATACATGCAGAGCAAGGTGATGGCGATCATGACATGTGAAGAAACGGTAAATAGAACGAGGTGAGTGAGTGAAGTCTGCGTTCTTCGATCACCCCCGGTCACATCATGGTATTCCATGCAATGGTCCCACTGCCCTGCGTGTTAGCTTTTCAACCAGGATCACCGCCAAGAGACTGTGCGTGTACTGACTCTAAGACAACATTGACAACTCACTCTGATGTGTACTCCCTGGAACTGCTGTTGATATGAGCCGAGGATGCAGGAAAGAAAGACCTGCACTTGAGTCGAGCCGCAACTCGGCAGCACACGCTTGCCATCATGATGGCAAGTCTCAATGGCTGAAGGGAGACAACTCTGGGAGGATAGTTTTCACTCTCGGACTGTATTTTCGTTGAGATACGATTGCTAGAAAAAACCCAGAACGATCTTTGTTGCCTGACTCAGCCAATGCGGCTTCCACTGAGCATAGGCGGATCCAGAGGAGGGGTGCAGGGGTGCGCACCCCCACTTTTGTCCTGAAAGTTTATTAAATGACCATTGAAACTCTGGTGAAAATGAAGCGTGCACCCTCCCTTTTCTCAATAGTGTGCACCCCCCCCTTTCTCAAAAAGCTGTATCCGCCCCTGCTGAGTGGGTAAGATGACTGACTTTGTGTGCTGGAGATCACGTGGCTGAGTGCGGGTTCGAATCCCGGATGGGACTCAAACAAGCAAAGATACTTAGAATCTGTACTTTATTGAGAAAGTGTAATTTAAAGCACTGAAGTATCAGTTCATTCCAGCACTGGTTTATCCTGTTCAGGTACCATGTACACTACTTTCAGTTTCTCACAAGTTCATACAAACACTTGGGGCATACGCTCTTGAACTCATTCATTGTCAGAAGCGCAGTTGGGCTTAGTTGTCCTTCTTTATAAATACAGCCGCCAAGCAGCGACGATTTCTGACTGGTCAGCAGATGCAGACTTCTTCACAAATCGGGTGAGCTAGCCATCATGGAGGAGCTGGGCGTGGAGTGGCAGGAGACTGGCTTCTTTGTGAAGAGCGGGAATCAACTTGTACAGGCGCAGTTGTTGATCTCATGTCCTTACATTCATGTTCGAATTCCATTAAAAATAACAACAAACTAAACACTATTTTATTATGTAATTTATTTTTAAAAAAATCGGCCCTTTTTCGGCCTTTTTGACTTTTGATTTCGGTCCATTTGACTTTTTCTTTCGGCCCATTTGACTTTTTTTCGGCCCTTTTGTCCTTCGGCCCATTTGACTACAACCCGTATAAACACTGATGTAATTCATTCCAAGGGCACCCAAATGAAAGGGTGTATTTTTGTTGTTGTCCGAAGTGTATACTTAAACAAAATATTTACATGTTATTTGTTAATATTTTTTTAAAAAGGTTATTTTTAAAAGTTTTAACAGGTCAGTGAACGCTGTTTACTCCACTTTCATACGATTATTCATCTGATGTCATGTGTAGCGGCCGAAAGTCTGGGAAATCAGCCTGTCCAGGGATACCGAGCCACTCTGTCGGGGAAGGATGACAGACACAGTGCAGAGCAGCATAATTGTTACCACCCATCTTCAGTTTAATCGGTTCGTCGACATACAGAATGCACTTGGAACCACTTTTAAACATAGAATATGTATATTAATCAACTAATATCAAGTTTAAATTTTACACGAAAACCTGCTGACAGTTGTAATTGTTTTTGTCACGAAACATGACACAAGTTCCAGTTCCCAGGGCTGAATATACAAACGCGTGTCGCCGCACCTGAAGACGTCGTCCTGTGACGTCGCCACCGTGCCGATACGTCCCAACCCTGGTAGCCACATCTAACACACTGCAGATCGTATCTATTGACAGTGTCAGGAAATCATCTCCAGGGAATCATTGACAACGGCACATTGACGTCAAAGGGGCCGCGTGCCCGGGGACACGGGAATAAGGAGGGGGACTCTGACTCCGACTGATACAATGTACATCAGTATTTCCTCAAGAAACCACAGTTAAGACAGAAAGGCTCTATATGCCATCTTATTTCCTCCATCTCAAACCGATATACATATCTAAGTAAGAATGGAAATGACCAGAAGTTTCCCCATATTATATGTACACAGATTTGGTAGGTATAACTTGTATTGGAAACATTTGAAAAAATATTAAAAAAAATATTAAAAAGAATAAATATACACGAACCACCTCCACATCAAGACACATCCAGTCTTTTAAGGTGTATTGAGAGCCTATGTACATACATGTATGTATATATGAAATTTGGATATACTTTGATATACGTATATGCGTATAAATATTGTCTCAAAGTTTATATTCGCAGTCCTCACAGATGGTTGCCCAGTCCCGTGTCATACTCAGTTGCAATCAGACTTTAATCCGTGGCAATTTAACGCTATGTAATTGATAATGGCCACTCTCCTTAAATATAAACGTTCGGATCCAGTATAACTTATAACATTCGAATATGATTTATTAAAATCCCCGACCCCCAAAAAGAAAACAAGAAAAAGCAACAAAACATTCTGGAGATGCGGGGTATCGATCCCCGTACCTCTCGCATGCTAAGCGAGCGCTCTACCATTTGAGCTACATCCCCATATGACGTTCGTGGTGACAAAATGTCAACATATTACTACAGTACTTGCACAAGTTTCTCCATACAAAAAAATTATGCCATATATCATGGATGTTACATAATTATGCTATAAATCAACGTTACAAATATATTTTTGCACCTCACTGTACCTGTCCGTAGATTTGTCGGGTTCACTGAGCGCCATGTGCAGCAATCCGCTAGTCTCCACACAGAGTCAAACTCATAAACAATGTGTGGAGCTCCTGATCGGCGCATGTTGGATCGCGGTTATTTCAAAGTTACCTCTTTTATTTACTGAATAAAGTCATGTGCTTAATAGGCATTATTTGAATAATGTAGATAAGCGTATGATAAGGTATTCTTTTGTTTTTCTCTTATTCTGATATATATGACGATATAGGCTGCGTCTCGTGAACGGGGAAAAGTTTCACAACATGTTGGCAGTCTTGTCAGAGGCAGGCCCAAACAATGTAAAATGACCAAACACCGGACTGCAGAAGGATACTTTAGTCACACAAACCATTTATATCACCTCATCAAGTAGGTACCTCACTACACAGCAAAATCTACGTGCTAACACTCGTTTGAATCGGTTGGCAGTATTCCTAGGGCTGCACATCAGAATGTTGGATGCAATTTAGGTGTTTGTCTCGTACGCGGACGCCAACCAAAACCTTTTGTCGGTCTTTCTTGTAAAATAGTCCAGCGGATATGTGCAGTTTTTTCACTGAATTGTGCTCTTTGTGTTACAAGCATGAAATTTAGGAAGAAACATCAAGAGGCCTCGCAGATTTTTTTATATTTTTCATAATTTTTTGGGGAAAAGTGAAAAATAATCATTTATTCTACTATTTTCGTCATAACATTTTTTTAAATCCCCCAATTCTCACCAATCATATATCTAATTGTAGGGAATTCATAGCTGATCATTTTTCATATATACATGTCATTTTATCTTTAAAAATAACGGTTAGGTCTATGGAAGTCAATTTATATCATGACTACCCGAAAATTTGGAAAATTGACGGACATTTTTCAAAATGGCCGCCATATAGACTACATCAGTAAAATAAGTATGAGCAGAGACCATTTAATAGACTCTATTATATGGTCTCTGGTATGAGATCCTCCCATGATCTAAGCATTTGTTCGCCACGAAGGGGATAAGATTGGACAATATACCCCAAACAAAATCAACTTTGATCCAGCATATAAAGAAAGCTGTATATCAGGGGAGTTATGTTTGGGGGCAATCCCTGATGAAATCACAGGAGTTACCAAGCCCTCTGGATTGGGGGTGGCAACAACTTTCTGGGGGAGAGCTTAGACAGTTATGGACAACTCTCCCGAAGACATCAAGAGCTGCCTGGAATTGTTGAAATGTGTAAAAATGTTCAAACCGGTCCATGTGCGTAAAAGCAGCTCTTACGTGCACTGTACTGTGCAAATGTGGAGGTGATTGTAATTGACTTTCTGATTCAGTCAAGGTAGAAACGATTACACTCAAGACATGACTGAATAACCTGCCACATGAGATGAGATAGCGACGTATACTTTGACATTGATGTTGAAATCAAACATGTTTGCGTTGATTTTGATATGTTTTTATAGGTGATCTGTTGTCAACCAAGCTGATACATTATACATGTAAGTAAATCTGACAGACAGACAGACAAGTTTATTCAGTAAAAGGCCACAGGCCCATCATACAGTCATTTGCATATGATATAGATAGTTTAGTGCACATACTGTGTAAGTGAAACATTTCTAATGCGCTGAAGTACATGATACAGAAAAATACTGACATCTCTTATGATACAATCATTATGTGTTTTCATAATGTTAATAAAATTGGCATTTGGATCAAAATCAGTAAAATAATTCTGAATATATCTTAACCTTAAATCAGAAAAACGTTCACACTTAAGGAGTACATGGAATTCATCTTCAATAACATTTTTGTCATCCAATTTACAAAATAGACATAGTCTCTCGTTGTAATTAACTTTATTGTATCTTCCAGTTTCAACAGCTAAATTAAAATTACCACATTCTGTCTGTCTGTCTGTAAGTAAATCTAATGATATATTCCTTCAAATAAGCTTTCATCTGTTCTCACAAACACACACATAAAAGTATCAAAATAAAATGACTTCTACTCAATTTATGAAATTATTGCAACAGTTAATTAACATGTTTACAAGTCTATGGACATTTCACTAATGATGACTCACTTATGGCCACCTACTGTACCTGGCGGCGGTCTGAACCAGACAATCCAGTGATCAGCACGATAAGCATCGATCTACGCAAATGGGATACGATGACCAGTTCTAAACCGGGTCTTCACGGGTCAGTTTTTAAAGTAAAACTAATATGACTCAAGAGTTCATGAATGAGGTGCCAGTGCAAGTGATAGGCCGGATAAAGAGATGGGGGACTGGCACCCTCGATATTATCGACACGGCAAAGCACACATCTGTGTTCTCATGCGACATACGATGGTCGTGACTGGCTGGAATTGAATAATTTTTTTAAAGAAAATATGTTTAGAGTGTAAGCATTCGATATTTTTGTTGTTGCAATAAAGAATTTTGCCTCTTTCTATTGAAACTGAAGACATTCCGATGACTTAATATCAGGAGGAACCAGTGCAAGAACGACCCATTCCACGCGTAATTTCGCGTCAATATTACTCGATAAT